AACATAGGTTTTATGAAATTGGTTCATATCTGTTCTTGTGTTATTAATTGATAAATGCATGATTTTGATTTGATTTCCGATGTGAATTTTTATATGTTTAAATTATGTATTTTTCATATCTGTGGAATGATGGAACGTAGAAACATGCCTAGGATTCCTGAACATTAAATAGGAACTAGGTTTGGGTTTAAATAAATTTAAATAGACTCAATCATAATAATGTTTGCTATTTGAATGTTTTAAACAAACGAATAGATTTAATCTTTTAAAATGTTTTAGCAATTGAGATTAAATGTGTAGGATGAATTGAATACGGATAATGCTTATTTAGCGGTATAATAAAATATCATCATGTATAAGATTCAGTTTGTGTAGGACATATGATATAGGAAGCTTAAATAAATAATAAGTCATTCCTATTTTGTGATAACTTGATATCATATTATCATAATTATTTTTGGATTGTTTGATGTATTTCCTTAACTTATCAGTTAAGTCCTACCTATTTTATATAAGGGAATGGATTAACTAAAATGTTAAGTCCTACTTATATTCAAGTCAAGTCAGCTGAACAAGTTGAATGACTTATGGAGGATTGATTTATTATATAAGGGAATGGATTAATTAAAATGTTAAGTCCTACTTATATTCAAGTCAGGTCAGCTGAACAAACTTTTGGAGGATTAATTTATACTGGATAGGATGGTTACTAAATTATATATATATAAATATGGTGCCATGATATGAGCTTGAGTCTCAGGATCAGTGGTTAGGGCGCGTATATCGCCAGGGATGTGTAGCTAGATATAGTGTAGTTGTGTACCCTGGTAGGTATAGGTACTCATGCCCACAGTATGTGCATTTTGCATATTGCCTACTATTCAGGTTGAGACAATCCTGTAGTCTAGTGAGGTTCCTTTAGTGCGTATATATATATATATACGGACTACTAGTTACTGTTGGATTGACTAGGATGTATACGTGTATCGGATCTCTACTTGGACTGTAGTAGAGTAGAACTTGTTTGTGGGCCTGACCCACCATTATTTTTCAGGTATTCGTCAGGAGTAGAGGTTGTTCGTGCTAAGCAGGGATCAGTTTACTTCATTCTTCCGATGCTACATAGGAGTTCCTTTATGATTCAGTTTCCTGATTTAGACCGTTATTGTTGTCATTTGTTTAGTTTAAATTTTCTAGGGGTCCACACAGTATGGATTCCCGAGTTGTATTTTGGAGGATCAGTTGTATCAGAAGAGTTTATTAATTAATGGAAATATATTCTGATGTTTATTATTAGATTATCATTTTAGTTTCTTGTCAGCATTTTATTTATTTTTCTTTATTCTTTTGTACTCTGTGTTCGTTTATTATCAATTTGTTTTGATATCCTCGGGTATTCGGGCGTGGGCCTAGCCAACCCGCATGCGGATATCCGGGGGTATCACAACTTTCTTTTTTCAAACAATATATTTTACATCTTTCCATATATGTCCTTGGAGTTTAAAATTTCAAACTTGAATATAAGGATAAATTAGTAACTTTCCAAGGAGATAAGGCACGTCCCGCATGTTCCCTTAAAAATCCCTACTCCCCAAAAGCGACATCTAAATTGGGACAGAGGGAGTATATATAACATAACGGTTCGGTTCGGTTCGGTCCTAAAGGATCTCAAACCATAACAAAACTGTATTTTTATGGTTTCACAAATTTAGAATTGTGACCAAACCAAACCATTAGCAAACCAAATCAAACTATCCAATTCGGTTTGGTCCGGTTTGAATTTTCGGTTTGACTGGATTTTTTTGCACCCTTTTAAGAGATCATATGATTCCTTGTCTAAAAAACGTGGACGTTTCGATGCATGTAGCAACTAACTCTTATTGGTTGTCTATGGGGTCCACAAGTTTCAAGGCTTTGAACACTAAAGGCTTGTTTGGCATGCATTTTGTTTTAGGCGTTTTGTTTTTGTCTAAAACAAAAACAGTGTTTTTGCTATAGAAGTGTTTTGAAAAAAAACGGAAGCACATTTGGGAACGACATTTTGCTGTGGAAATGTCGGAAATAGTTATACTACTGTTATAGTTTTGACCATGAACAGTTGTCAAAAATAAGAAAAAATAACTTTTTGATATTTTTGTGTTTAAGTCACTGTTCACGAAGTATTTTAATATTGTGTAAAATAAAATAAGGCCGCACCAAATATGCTTTTATTGCCAAAATCGACATTGTAGTAGCTTAAAAACAAAAACAACATAAACAAAACACATGCCTAACGGAGCCTAATAATATACGTTTTGGACCCATTTGATCATCACACCTGGAAAAATCACAGTTGTTAGAATAATAATTCACTATCATATAATTATAAATAACATTAACAACATTATTTAGTTACAAGTAATATTACATAATAATAAATAATAACATTACATACCATTATATAATTATATTACTCTATAAATAATATAAATGTTATAACTATAATTACATTTTATTATAAATAATATTATTTTATATAACATTTTAAATTATATTTATAACAAAATTTAATTATTTGTAACACGACTTGAAAATGCGTGAAAATTTTCACTTGAATGGTGGGTTGCATGACCAATGTATTCAACTTATTTTTAAAAAAACATATGGCTATTGTACGATTGTTGCATGCTCGAGGTATGAATGTTGTCTTAACAATATAATTTATTGCATAATAGAAGCAATTAACTTAGTTAATTAATTTTTTAAAATATGTAATCTAAATTTAGTTAATGTTATCTATAATTATGGAGGCCGTGATATTAGCACTTTACTTTTTTTCGAACAAAAATTCTCATGTGTGCACCGAATTTAACATAATGTCTTTGACACACTATCTACTTAGACTATTTTCAAAAAAAGAAATTTTATTTACTAAATATAAAGGCATATATATCCTCAATATTCAACTTTATCTTCAATCCAAGACCTTTAACTTTTTCTCTCTCTTCCTTCTCTTTCTTATTTTTTTAATTTTCTCTATCTAAAATTTGGTATGAAATTCACTTTCACATTTTTAAAATTTACCTATCTCTTTCAAATTATCGCTATCTCTTTCAAATTATCTTTTGTTTTCGTACCTCTCTTTCTCTCTTTGTGAAAATATTATTCAAAATAAAGTTTTAAAGTCAAATTGGAGCCTACTAATTAAAAATTAAGCTCCACATAATATTCAAATCGAAATAATAAATATTGAACTTAAACTAGGGCTGTAACTTGGGCGGGTTGAGCGGGTTTGAGACATAACTTGAGCCCAATTTATCATATGAAATGCTAAACCTAAACTCAACCATAACTCTATTATCAACCTTAACTATTCAACCCAAACCCAACTCATCCTTCTACTTTTAAATTTGAGCTTTCAACTCGAGTTTAGATTTCGGATAAAAAGTTCGGGTTAATTCATGTTACTCATATGGCTAATCTTTACACCGAAAATTTAATATGATCTTAAATTAGTTTTAGATTAAATTACTCTTAAACAAAAAAAAGTTAAAAGACCCTTTTTTTTTTTTTTGTAGATTTTTAATAAATTACAAACAAATTTTTAGAAAATTAAATCTTCTAAATGTTAACATATAATAAATTAAGGTTTCACGAAAGAAGTTGAAAAGAAAAAAAATAATTATAGTTTAAAAATTATATATAATGTATTTAAAAGTAAAAATATATATGAAAATAATATTAAAGTTCGGGTTCGGGTTGGCTCGGGTTGCTAGCACTTCAACCCAAGCCCAACCTTAATTAAATTTAGGTTGAGATTTTTCAACTGAAGCCCAACCCTAATTGTAAAAATGATTGCCCAAGCCAGTAAAAAATCGGGTTGGGTTCAAGTTACCCAACCCAAATTACACCCCTAACTTAAACTGAGAAAAAGTGGATCAAACTAGGGTTTCGAAGTTGGCCCTAACAAAGTCATGGAGATGGGGAACATTCATATATAAAAATATATATATACATGTGTAAATCTACCGTGATGGCGAATGTAAGAATAGAAAATCCAATCTTTTCTTTTCACGATATTCAACTAACATTTTTTGCCCTTAAATTTTATAATGTGACGAGAAAAAAAAAAAAAAAGAAAGAATATTTTATATATTGAAGATGCTTATTAGTAGGATGTTTAAAGAGCTTAAGTGACAAAACCACAACGGTGGCTATTTCCGAAATAACCTTCGAGTGCCCTATTGTTATTCTTGCTTTTACTGTGAATTATAAAACAAAACAGAATTTCGCCCGGTCTCGGAGTAGAAGATAGGCAAACATTGTAAAAACAAAACATAATCTTAATGGATGGTTTTAAAGATAGGCAAACATTGGCTTACGTGTTTAAGTGGGGTAATCGTACCTTAAACATTCACATTTTGAGGCATAGGAGGGAGTTCTAAAAGTTTAAACGATTATATGGGAAGGACAAGTAGCTTTTAAGAAGGATTAAATACCTCTTTCACAATCAACTTTTTCTTTTTCAAAAATATTACTCAATTCTAAATTTCCCTTTCTTATCCATTACTCCTGCTTTATCATATAAGTAGCCTTTTTTTTTAATTATCTCATTTCAAATATCAATACACTATATTTAATCCCTTTTCTAATTTATCCTAATTACATGAATAAAAATAAAAAATAATATTAAAAGTTAATCTTTTAAAAAATTAAAATTTTAAATATGAACATGGGACATATAATTTTTTACTACTTACTTATATATATATATATACATATACATATATATATTTAACAATTTACTTGTTTATCACTAAAAGCTCTATGACCCTTTCTTCCCTTTCTAAATCGTATAATATTCCCAAATCTCTGGCCCTTTCTTATGATGTTGGCTTTTCGCTACCAGCTGAATCTAATCATCACACGTGGTGGAGAAAAAAACATCACATATCACTATTACTAGTTTTTTTTCTTTTTATAGAAAAAAGAATCTACATCAAAATAGAAAAGAGAGAGAAAAAAATAAAATAAAATAAAAATATTAATGTTTTTTTCCGTCCTAAGGTCCAAATTGTTGATATTTTTGTATTAGGAATTGTTCATGTCCTTCGATCTTCTTTCTAAAGAGAGAGAGAAGAGAGAGTGTGTAATGGAGAGCATACCCGGGTGGCAAATGGCATCTTTGTGTGGGATTGCGTCATGGATTGTCATATCTTCCATGTTCAATGTGACCCGGAAGCTTAGATCCTTCACCAAACCCTGGGTGTCTCGCCATGTCATCTCTGGTACTCCTATCATCCTTCGGATCCAGGTTTGTACTCCTACTGTAATATATACGCGCGCGCGTGTGCATATATATAGATCAATATCGTCAGTCTCAAGAAATTTTATGTGATGAACTGCTATTCTATTTTGTTTTTTTCTGACTTTATTTGAATAATTGGTGTTTTTATTTTCTGCAGAAATATCAGCATGGACTGTTGGATGCTATGTTCTCTGGGTTGTCTTGTGTTGTTTCTGTGCCTTTCTACACTACTTTTCTTCCCTTCCTCTTCTGGGTATATCTTCTGATGGTTTGCTTTTAATTCTTGATAAATTTTTATCTGGGTATGGGTTGTATTACAATTTCTTATACCATTATTTTAGAATTAGAAGCTCAATTGGGTTTTTCTTTATTTGGGTGATTTATTGTAGAGTGGACATTGCAAATTGGCATGGCAGATGACCCTCTTGAAGGCTAATCTTTTATACCAGCATTATAGAATTTGAAGCTCAATTGGGTTTTCTTTATTTGGGTGATTTATTGTAGAGTGGACATTGCAAATTGGCAAGGCAGATGACCCTCTTGATGGCCTTTTGTGATTATTTAGGGAACTGTGTAAAGGTATTCTCTTCTTACTGGATAAATTTCATTGTTAGCAGAAAAAGAGTTGTCATGATATGTTTGAATTATTTGTTTATCTGTCAATAGGATGTGGTATCAGTCCCCAGACCGAACTCACCGCCTGTTAGAAGAGTGACTGCTACCAAAGATGAGAAGGAGAATGCATTGGAATATGGATTGCCTTCTTCTCACACTCTTAACACAGTTTGCTTATCTGGGTATTGAAATTTCCTTCCTGTTTCTCCGTTACTCTTATATTTCTCAGGTGGGGTTTGCGTTATATTGGCTAAGGACTTAAGATTGCAGTGAATGCATGATGGTTTTAGAATCATTTCTGGGCAGAAGCCTTGTTGTGTGCCTCATCAAGGTGCAACATTACCAAAGATTCTCCTACAGTGCTCATGAGATCTAGCATTCTTACGAATGTTGTATATGTGTTATAAGTTGGAAAAAAGGGCGGGGGGAAGGCACACACCATATGACATGATTGTTCTGTCTTTACTATTGGAAGCCATGAATACTAATTATTACAGTGCTTTAATTTGCATCACATATAAAATTATAAATATAAGTTTTGCTGTTCGTTAGTTGATTTGTTGATAACTGTGAGGTTTACAGCATGCACCTCGTGCTAGTGAAATGCTTCACCTCTGCCTTAGCAATCCAGTGTACTATTTAACTCACTCGCTAAATCCCTCTTGGGTTTTGGGTAATTCCAGATACCTTTTGCACTATGTTCTATCCTATAGTCAAAATAGAGATGCTTTCACTGAACTGGCTGGAGTAGCAATTGTTTGCTTGCTTGTGGGCCTTATTGGCTTTGGTAAGTTTAAATTCTTCCTTAAATATCTGTCTGCCTTTTATTTTATTATTCCATCAGTTTCTTATATTTCCTAAAACGACAATTGGTTATCTTGTTAGGAAGAATTTACCTTGGCATGCACAGTGTGGTCGATGTCATAGGTGGTCTTGCTTTTGGACTGGTGATTCTTCCATTTTGGCTTACCATTCATGAATATGTCGACAATTTTATAATTTCAGGACAAAATGGTATGGGTACTTTTTTCTACTTAATACATTTGTATTTCAGATTTTGTATGAGATAATGCGGCGTTGTTTTTAACTGCTCAAACACAATTAAGGCCAGTAAAATGGCCTAGAGAAATTCAAAAGGGGCCAAGGTTTTCAGATTGAGGCGAAAATTAGTCAAATGGCTCCAAATGAAGATTTGAAGACCAATCTGAATCTTAAATCAACAAACAACCCACTTGTTGGCTTTGTGATCTGATTTTATGGCTTGAAAGTTGAAACCAGGCCAACTAAATATACAAACAAGAAACTCTGTGAGACAAATTAGTGAGCTGCCATCAGAAGCCCAAATATGACTAGAATATTGCTTCAAAAATCCTAACCATCCGTTATTATTATTATTTTGACAAGGGCCAAGAAGTCCAACCGTCCTTTTGGGGATTGAATGGACTTGTCCAGTAGAAGTAGGCCTAGTCATAAATTTTACCCTTTTAGAGGGCCAAGGTCCATATGATGGCATTTCAGTTGTTTCCACAGCTAAGGAACATTCTCCTTAAATTGAAATGGAATGAGGGAACAGCTTTCTTTACTTAGAGGGGACATTCAGCTTAATAGAAGTAATAGAAGGGTGCTAGCCAGAGGCAGATGTCCTGCATCAAAGGATAGCCTTTAAAAGGACTAGTTGACCTCAAGGGCTAGTAGAAGCTCCTACAGTTGTTGGTCTACTAAGAAAGACTCCTGCCTTATATGTCTTCTTCTTCTCTTATGACAGGAGAAGGTTTCAGAAGCCTACATAGGGAAAGACTAGCACTCTAGAGAAAGGAAGAAAAAAACAAATGAGAGAGTCTCTCTTTGACCCTGTAAATGATTGAAACTTTTAGGTAGGATTTTCTATTGCTCTTGCTTTTTAGATAGAGGTATGTAAAAGCACCTACGCCTCCTTTTATGATTTATTAAAGCCAAAAGGTGGCACTTTTAACCGTGAGCCATGAGTTCTATGCAAAATACTTTTGTACTTATTTTCTTTTCTTTATTAAAGATTCCTCCAGATTGTACAGAGCAATATTTTTTCTCTCTATTGGTGAGGCAGAGAATCACCAAACCATGTTAATCAAAATCAAACGGAGTTGTTTTGAGGTTGCAAGTATAGAGTGAATTACTTTGGACTATTTTTCATTGGTATCCATCAGAAAGAAGTCGTTACTTGGTCGAATAAGACAAAATACCAAAAATTGAAAAATAAATTAACATTTCGTTGAGATACTAGGAATATTACACAAGGAAACATAGAGTATGATTGAAATTTGAGGTGCTAAACATGTGAGAATTGAAATTACTCACTGTCCATTATTCGCTTCTGTTGCAGTCACATTTTTTTGGGCTGCCCTTAGCTTCTTGTTGCTCTTTGCTTACCCGACACCGGAGCTTCCAACTCCAAGTTTTGAGTATCACACAGCTTTCAATGGTGTTGCATTGGGAATTGTAAGCATAAACCTTTTACCTGTTTAAGATTAATATTATTTCTTTGTTCATATCATAATTCTTTGCTTGGACTTCAAGTTATTGTTGGTGGTGCATATATAATTGATCACTTTCTTTCCCTATATGTGTTCTCATTATCTGTTAGGGTCAGAATGATGAAATTCATGGCCGTTAGTTGACATAAAACTTTCAAGTACATTATATTCATGGTATATAAAGTTTAAATTTCCCAAGTTAACCTTGTTTGAGAAGTAGAAAACAAGATTTTCATTTTTTTCGAGGGTATAGAGTACTGAATTCTTCTATACTTCAATCGGTGGTTCATTTGCTTCTAGAGTAGGAACTTAGATTTGACCTTGACGCAACCTAATCTGGCTTGAATTGGATTTTGAACTCAGGATTTAGCCTGTTCTCAATTGTTCTTGGCGTGCCCTTAGGTGCTGAAATGATGCCTTGCTGATCCATTTTTGAACTGTAATACATTGTGTACTAGTTTTGAGCAGAAGGTTTTCTCTTTCCCTATTTGTTGAACATAGGTGGAAAATAACCCATGTTTCCACCTTGGCCTACAGCTTAGTTGGGCCACAAGAAAGAAATTAATCTCCTTGGGGTTGAATTAGGTTTATCACATGCCCAAACTGCATGAAATCCTTGCACTTCCCAGGCTCTCTTAATCTAAAATACTTGTTTGTGATTTAAAACCCAAGATAGATTCTAACCATAGAACTTGATAGATATACGAAAGGTGGAACTACATGGTGAGATGTCAAGTTGACAACTAAGATACTGGGGTCAATAAGAGTATGTTGCTCTCAGTGCACCTTCTATCGTCGGATGCTGATATTGTATTATATGACAAGATAGAGTTTATCTAACTTATCACATGGTTTATCTTGTTTTTTGATTCCCAAATTCCTTACCAATTACATTTTACATTGGAAAGAAACATGACCTTGTGACATGACAAGTCATTTCTCTTCTCCACGTACCTGATTTTTTATGCACATGGAGATTGAACTAAGAAATACTGAAGTACCATTTAGCAAAACCAGAAGAACATGGGTGCTAGTCAGCAAAAACTTTTACACATGACAATAATGACGACTCCATGAAGTGTTGCTTGTACTGTCACTAGTCTCATAAGGGACTAAGAGCAATAATGCACTAATAGATGGCGTGTAGGAAACATGGGCACTTCCAAAAAGGTGGTGTGCCCGTATCAGATTCATATTAGATACTGAAACTTTGTTGACACATGTCCAAAACCTAGTAAATGTGTCAGTTCAAAAGTGTTATTTCATGCACTTGGCAACATTGCAAACGTTTGACACATGATTTGTGTAGTACGAATGCATCTCGATAGATGTCATGTCAGACACTCTTGGAAACAAGATGAACACACCTTGAAGTGTTCAACCTCTCTCTCACATACACATAATTTTGACATTATACTTATGCCCACTACAAGTCCAGAACTGAATAAACATTTTTAGTGTACTTTAAGAATACGATTTCAAGGATACTATTCTTTATTTTTATTGAGTTTCATCTTCCATATTATGTAATTCTTTGTACAGAAATTTTACAAAATTAATTGAAGTTATATATATTTATTATATAATGGATGTGTATGTTTAAAATTTTATATATATGTATTGTCATGCTGTCGCTGTGTTTGTATACTACCTTTTATGATTTGACATGGTGGTATATCCGTCGTGCTGGGTATTATGTTTGTGTTATTGGGATAGCTTGAATAAGAATTATCATATGAGAGTTGGAAATTAATCCCGGTATACAATCTCATCTTTCATTAATATGTAGCTTTGTCTTTAATATTGATGATATTTGCTCAAAGTAGAGAAATCACCTGTCAAAATATCTAACATAACATAAAATAGGGTTAAGCTGAAGTTTTTGAGATATTGGTTAGTCAGAGGACGGACTAGGATGTACTCGGTATGGGTCAGGGAGTAAATATTTTCCATAAATATGGATGCAAATAATGAATATACGTAGATGTCATATTACTGTAGCATTAAGAACTATTAAAACTTCAGTCTAGTCTTCCCTATGTGTCAGTGAATCTCACTTGGATGTGCTGTTCAAATAATTTAAGCCTGTTTTTGTCTGTGTACGGGACTATATGAATTTCATTTAACTAAATGATTACGATTGATGGTGAAAATTGGTGATAGAATGAACATGCAGAATTTTGATATTATATGTTTCCAGCCTATGATGAAAAGTACACTGGAAGTAAGATAATGGTGGATAGAAACTTAGAATATCAAATGCATGCTACTAAAAATCGTTTATTAATCTTCTAACTTGGTTCTACATTCTTCTGAGTTATAAATGCCTTTCTTCTCTCTCTCTCTTTTTTTTTTTTTCTTCTTTATATTTAGTTCTAAATCCTTTTTCTCTCAATTTTTTTTTTTTTTCCTTTTTATATTAGTGCTTATTATTATTAATTTTTTTGTTAAACAGGTAACTGGGATCCAGCAAACCTATCATCAGTTTCACCATGAAAATGTCCCACGGATCTTTACTTATCAACTGACAATCCCTAATTTTTTGGGGAGAATGGTAGTGGGTATTGTGACAATACTCCTTGTGAAATTCTGTGCCAAAGCTCTCTCGAAATGGAGTCTTCCCATTGTAGCAAACACCTTGGGCATCCCAATAAGATCAACCAGCTACATCCCAGCACTAAGCGCTTCGACAAGTGGTAAAAAGTCAGATGGAACTAGGCAATCTAGTTATTTCCAAAAAATGTTCCTTCTCTCCCAACAGGATTCATTTGATGTTGATACTGGTATAAGGTTTCTTCAATATGCTGGTCTTGCGTGGTCTGTGGTAGATCTTGTTCCATCTCTATTCTCTCACCTGCACTTGTGATGCATGGTAGTTCTTGTGTATATTTTTACGCCCCCCCTCCTTTTTCTTGTCCATTGCCTGCTTTTAGCAAATATCAATGTTTTTTATTTCTAGAAAAAAATACATTGTCTAGTAAGAAAAATCCGTGTTATATATTTTGTTCAAATTTATTAGAATATTTCATGACAAAATATGTTTCCTATTTGTCATGACAAGTGTAAACTAGGGTAAAAATGAAGCGATGATTTTGAATAATTTTAATAATTTTGTATCAGAGTTTTGGTTTATAAATCACCATGAGTTTTACAGTGCAATTTGGTGAGCTTCAACGATGACTTTGGATAAGAACCATGAGATCTTCACATTTAACCACTAAAATGAATATATATTTCAATTCAGTGATATATTGTACGGTAGAAGCTCACGACTTCTTTACCCTGGGTCGAATTTTTATGTTTACTATTGTTATGTCTGGGTCCAATTTTTATGTTTTTTATTATTATGCTCTTGCATGCTATAGACGACTTATTGTGAGAGTCAATAAGTCAACTTATGTGTTATTTTGTAATGCCATACAGTGAAGTGTCTAGATTAGCAAATTGCTTAAGCTTGTTAGCTAAAAAAAAATTACCCTTACAAGCTTACTAGAAGCCTAAAAGGGTTATTTGCACTAACATCTCTTGAAGTTTTGGTCAATTTTGTTCATATGCAAGTCAACGTTTATTTGATAGTAACACCCTTTGGGATTTTAAAATCTTGCATCCACACCCCTTTTTGGCCTATAAAAAGACCTAAATGTTTTTTTTGACTAGTCAACAATTACTGGTGATCATGAAATGACCCGAATGTCCTTTTCTAGCTAATTTTAATGGACTAAATTGACCCATTATTTACCACTTCATGCCATCGTCTATTATAAATATCAAGTTGGGCTTTGCCTTCCACCGTCACAAGTACTTCAAGTCCCACTGGGCGTGCTTCCTTCTACTACCTCATGGAGCCTGAATGTTGAAAGCTAGTAATTGCTCTGTCGGTGACTGATGCCGCTGCATAGGGCGTCTCCCTTTCGCCGCCAAATCCATTGTCACATAAGATAATAAAAAAAGCAAAGCATGTGTGCAAGTGTGTGTATATATATATATATATATATATGAATTGGGGGATTAAGACATACTGGAATTATATATATGTGTATGTGAATTGGGTTCCTCGTGGTTCAATTATGTTCATTATGAGTTCGATTGAGATTGTCATGGGTGGAGATGATGGTGGTAAAAATGGTGGGGGTAGCAATGATATATATATGGTTTCATATTGGGGTTTGAGAGGTAATGTATGTATATGAATACGAATTGGGTTTGATTTGAGGTTCTTCATGGTGGAGTGGTAGAGGACTTGATCTTGGCCTCCGCAAGGTGGCGGAGCAGTAGATGCTTATGGTAGCGATGCTAGTGGTAGTGTCGCTGCAACCTATTTATAGTTTTCAATTGCTAGGGCCCTTTACACGGTGGTTGAGGTGGTGATAATGGGTGGTGGTTGTGAGGTGGATGTTACGGTGGTGAAGAAAGAGAGAGAAGGGGGCAGATCGTGGTGGAGTTAACGATGGTGGGAGGTGGTGGCGATGGCAGTAGGTGATGACAATGGGTCGGCGATGGTGGGTTGTGACGGCCCGAGTTTTTCAACCCGGTGCATCAGTGATGAACCGAAAGAATGACCCGATAACGGATCCGAAATGCGGAAGCGAATGAAGCTAAATGACCACTAGAGATGCACGTCATCCCTAAGGCATCAAAATGAGTCCCCACGAAGCCATGAAACTCTATTAAGCCAAGCAAATGAAGCAAGAATGCCAAACCTGAAAAGAAATAAACTAAGGGCAAAATGGTCATTTCACATAGAAATGGGTGCCACTGTATACACCATTGGAAGGACAACGAAAAATGAACAAAATTAGACTCAAGAACCGCCTAATTATGAGTCCGAACGGAAAAGATATGAATTTAAAACAATGTGGCCTTCTCCGTTAAGAGTTACCACGAACCTATCTCACTGAAACAGGAATAACTCACACTATAGATGGAGTCTTGATGAGTGGTTGATACCAGCAGAAAGCTAACTTCAAGCTCTTGAACTTAGACTCAAGAACGACCCAATTTGGATTTAAAATGAATGAGATGTGAGCTCCCAAAGTTGATGCAACAAGGCTATCCACGGAAAAGATGAAGAATAGGGTTCCAGGGAGGATCGGTTGATCGAAGCCCAATCATCGGTCGGCCGAAACGATGATTTTCTCAAAAAGCCTACTGGAATGGGGTCTCGAGGCTTATCGGTCGACCGATGGTGTTTCATCAGCCGACCGACACATCTGCTGTAGCTATGAAAAACTGCTGCAATATGTAAAAATGGTGTTCGGTCCATCTCTATGGTTCTACATGCTTTCTACATGATTCGAATAAGTTTGAAAACATCCCCTAGCATCATTGAAGCATTCAAATCGTGCCAAAATAAAGAGGAACTCAAAATGACACCCCATGGATGAATTTTTCATAAAAATTCATAAAATCGCCAAAAAATAGTTCTAAGGTTGAAACTTAAGAGTTTTGTGAAATGTGGACATGCACGCAAACGTAAAATGACATTTAAGACGCGTCATAATGGTCCGTGGCCTCAAAATGTCCTCAATGCAAAATATGACCTCCCAACGGCCAAAAATGCCTAAAAATGGAATAAATGAAACCAAAATGCAAAACACAGAACGAAATGGTGTTTGGTCCTTGGCCATACCTCAAACATAATCATGGAAACCTTATGAAAGAAAAATAATGGAATTCCCACACCCGGTGTAAAAGTTATGAAGCAATGACTTAGCATTTCACAATATTTTCATAAATAACCTTAAAAATGAAAGTGTATAGAATACAAAATACATGTCATTGGCCTCCGGCCTTAACTCATACATGCCAAATACACTGAAAAGAGTGTACTTATGTACACATTACATATATGAAATAAAAAATACAAATTTGATATACAAGTCTACAAAAATGACCTTTCATGTCAACATTTTCATGAAAATGATACTTCATGTCTACAAAACTTCCATAGTTTAGTGTGGATCCCAAATCAAGGTCCCTGTACCTGAAAAATGTCCCTACTACGTGGGTGAGTAACATAAAGCTACTCGTAGGAGATGAGCATGCATCGACCTAGCATTTCACAAAATTACCACCTTAAGGTGAAACATGTTAAAGGGCTCATGCCACTTAACGTCTATGTCAAGATGAGACTCAGGGAGCATCATAAGCTACCTTAGATCATTTCTAGCATAAATCAAATCATCCATGCAATTTAAACAATATAGAAGCATGTTATATAAGGCAACATGATATAGGTTCTCAAAGTCTTCAACTTGAAATCTAAAACTCGAAAACAACTAAAGTGGATCATGCCACATAACGTCTATGTTTTAATGAATTTATAGGATCATTCCTAAGTTATATTGGCACATCAAAACACAAATCACAATATCGATGCAATTTAACCAACATTGGAACTTCCAATACAACACATAAAACATAGCTTCTCAAAGTAAACATCTTGAAACTTAAAACGAGAAAAACAAATAAGGAACAACAAGTTATAACATCATCTAGTTATCAACTTTAAATGAAAAGCGAAATCAAACAAAGTGGATACTCGGACGTCACGCTAGATCAGATCGATAACATAATTCCTTTAGGATTACTAGCCCATGGGTAACCTCCCTATGTGCGCACTAGACTGTAGAGGGACAATCCCCCGTACTAGAACCATGTCCTAGCCGTAGTCAAATAACGACATCCCCAAGTTTCCAAAATCAACAAGTTGTGCAGCAACGTATATATCAATATGTATATACAAGATAGTCAACTATCTACCATGCACAACCAAATTGGAAACACATACAATACATGCACTAAGTCCACAACTACTATGGCACGACAAATGTCGAATCTTCAGTGTGCGATTCTTTACACGCTATGGCAATATATTCCAATATTGAAAACAGATACTCATGAATCTAATACAAGTCCGAAATCATGATTTAAACATATTACCAAGGTCAAATACATTATTTGATCATTAATGCAATAGAAACAGAAATTAATTAAATAAACTAATCAATTTTCCTAAGTTTCATATCTCAACCAAATAGTCCCAAATCAATACATGTTAATCAACATAGCATGAACATTACAAAAATCAATCTAACAACTTAATTAAACCAATGGGACCGTTAAATAGATTTTAATTAATTATTTTAATTAAAATTTCTAAATTTTCATATTTAACCAAATGCTCCCAAATTAAAGTATGTTAAAGAACATGCCAAGACTTAATTTAATAGCCTATCATAAGTGTTTTTTATGCAAGATACGACCATAATAATTAATCTTTCACGAAAGAAAAATATTAAATAAATGTTGCAATTCTTTTACAAATGGCCCTAATTTAATATATGTAAACAACCACAGCAAAGCTTAATTTTCTAGCGTGCCATAATTTAATTCTAAGTTATACATCATCATGATAATTAAATCTTAATCATAGAAAATAATTAAATTAAATTATAGAACTTAAACCAAAGCATGCATACAAGTTGTATAAACTTTTAAAATCATCCATACAACAATAATATAAACCTAAGACACCCCTTACCTCGATTTAAGATGAAAATCTCAAAAGCCACCAAAGTGAAACGGCTTCGAATCCGACAATACTTCAGGGTTTTGTCGGGGACAACACCATAAATATTAAACTCCAAATAGGACCTACCAAAATTCCAACTTGATCTCAAACTCGAACTCAAAATTTGGCCAGAAACGGGTTATAATAAGGGTGAAAGATGCGCGTCGTCAAGACAAGCACAAAATGCGAAGGCACTATGGCTTTATAACAAAGGGAAGGAGGTTTAAATGAAAGGAGAAGGATGGCAGCCCCCCTTGAGCTACCATGAATGCTTCTGGTCGTGCTTGAAGAGAGGAAAAGACAGCTTTTTAATTTTGTAACCCCCTATTTATAGAAAATCTCAAAAAGTGCCCCGAACGGGCCCCGCCGGATCCAGAAAAGTGAAATTCGCACAGACGCTCTCAAACGGCAAAACTCCGTGAACAAAAAAGATTCAAAATGAGAAAATATGAATAATGGAAGAAACAGCGTCGCAAACTGAGTCTCGAGTAGAGAGTTATGCCCGAACAAGTTTGTCGGCAACCAGGTCTAAAAATCCTGAAATTGGAGAAAAATGACCAGAAGGAAATTCTAAGAGTACAAGACTCGACGAAATTTAAAAATGAATCCCGTACGAGGATTCAGGCTCAAAATGAGGCATTTTTGTAATAACTTTCATTAATTGCACAATGGCCCTTCCAAAAAGTGAAAACTGCACAACTGGCCCAGAATGAAAATATCTTTCAAAAATATTTTCTTAAAAACTCCTGAAATAAAATATCTTCAAAATATATTTACGAAAAACACCCCAAGAAAAGAAAAAGATTCTGAAAAACTATTCATCCATGCCCCTATGGACACCGGGAGCAACCAGAGAGCTTTTCTGCAAAAGTAAAGACACGTATTTCGTGGAAACCACTTGAGATGAAGGCACGTGAAGCCGGAAATCAACTCTGAGTACAAAAAGTGAGGTTGTGCCAACAAAGTGACAAACAAGGAAAAGACAATATAGGGAAAAATGACGAAATAGAGAAAGGGACAAAAAGTGAATAGTGTCCGAAAAGTGAAAAGGTGGAAATGACGTGATCCTCAAAGGAAGTTGTCAATCTAAAGGAAAGAGTCTCAGAAACCATTTTCGAGCACTCAAGATGACACTATCTGACGAGAAACAGAACTCAGAAAGGAAAAGATAACGAAAAAAAAATTTATCCGTAAAATTTAAAGAAAGGGAAAGGGATGAAAATGACCGGGTCATTACATGGGTGGTGGTTGTAGTGTTGATGTTGCGATTGTGGTGGTTGTGGGGTTGATGTTATAATGGTGGTTGTGAGGTTGACGTTGTGGTGGTAATTGGAGAGACAGCGGGGAAATTTTTCTTTTGTTGTCAAGGGTTATTTTTGTAAATTTCATTGTTGATATTTTGTAAATAAAATTGAATTAATAATTTAAGGGCATTTATGTCATTTGAAAGCTCAAGGTGTGTCATTGTTCAAAATTGCATTGACCAGCTGCTGGGTAGAATTAACCAAAATTTTAAGAGGTGTCAATGTAATTAACCCTGAGTAAAATTAAAGCACATAGAGTACTGCGCTATCTAAAATCATAGCCCACAACGATTTTATTTATCTATTTATTTATTATTATTATCATTTATCTTGACAATGGTTAGTAGTTAATTGGGGAAGGGAGGAGTTGAACTGAGGATCAGTAGGGTGGGGGGCAATTTAAGCCTGCCTCTTTTACCATTTGGGCAACACTGCCACACCTCATAGCCTAGAAGGATCAGTGACGGAGTCAGAATTTCAAGTCAGGATAGGCATTGTACAATATATTATATATATATATATATATATATATATATATATATATATATATATATATATATAAACATTACAAATATAAAATACAAAAGAAGAAGAAAAAAAAAAAAAATTCAAATATGCACGTTAAAAAGATGAATTTTAAAAAGTAAAAATTGAAAAAGAAAAGAAAAATGAGAGGACTTTAATAAGAAAAAGTTAAAAGTTTCAATTAAGGAAGGAAAATTTAACCTTTTCTTTTAAAGAAATTTAAGGAATTTGAAGAATAAAAGAGAAAATAAAGGAATAATTTTAGAAATTACAAAATTTAAGAGGCACTATATAATTTTTTTTTCATATAAATGAAAAAAATATTAAATATTATAGAGGGCGGTGCAAGGCAGGAGGGGCACGGCCTTCATTGGCTCCGTCCGTGACAAGGATTAAGAGAACCACATTCAAGCGGGGTGGTTGGTTCACTAGTTTGAGTTTGATGTGTTTGTTTGAGATAATGCATTTTAGATAGTAGTTGAAAAAACAAGTCACACTTAAAAAGTAAACATGAGAGATACTAAAGCCTTTAGGTTGGTGGTAGTTCTTTTCATTCTCAAGGAGAATCGTCTGAATATGTTTGATATTAATGAAAATAATAATAATAATAAATAAATAATTTAATATTTTAAATGAAAGTGGCTTGGCATTGAAAAATATTTCAAAATATGAACACATGGAAGTTTTAACTCCTAGAATGAGCTCATTAAGCTCGGTAAGTTAAGTTTTGTTATACTTTCCTAATGGAAGGGAACGGAATAAAAGGCTTGCAGGTTGAAAGAAATTTTGTTAATATTAAATTGGTTTTTATTTTTATAAAGACAAGATCAATGAAAAATGGTACGGTGATTCATTTATTAAACTAGTTTATTTCCATTTCTTTCTCCCAAACCAATTATTTTCCTTTTATTTATTTATTTTTATTAGTCTCATATAAAGTGGTACTCTCATTTTTTCTTTTCGGCTCCATTTGGTTAGATAAAAATAAGCAAAAAAATAAAAAAAATAAAAAATGAAAGAAAAGTGAAATAAATGAAAATAAAAGTTATTTTTTAACATGCATTTGGTTAGCAACTTAACATGAAAATTTATTCAAGAAAATTATAGGAAAATATTAATTTGTTATTTTGAATAGCATAAAAGTAAAAAGAAAGTGACTGAACATACTGAAATTACCCTTATGATTTCAAATACTAAAAAAATAAATAAATTTGTATTTGATGATGTCTACTTTTAGCAAAAGAAATAGTAAAACGATGAATTATTAAATTTAATAATATAATTATTTATAATTAAAATAAGACTTCATAATATATTATTAGGTAAAAATAGAACTAATTATTAGTTTAAGACAAACGAAACTTAAAAATAATAACAACGGAGATGAAGAAACTAACAGCAATATTAAATTTTGAATGAAACTTGATTATACGTTGTTGTTGCTAATTATATATGAATTTGTGGAAAAACAAAGAAACAAGTGTTTTTTTTTTTTCAAGAACTTGCCTAAGTAAACGGTAAAATATGAATGTCAAATAAAAAGACTTATTTCACGAGTAAATATTATTTTCCTATATTTTGTGCAGGAAAAGTTTTGACAAAAAATAGGAAAGTATGGAAAACAAAAATTTCCTTTACGTTTCTTTTTCCATCTATCCTTTCTTTTTTCATCTATCCAAACTCCAAAAAAAGTTTAAATTCTTTTTTTTTTTTTTTTTTTCACCCTACCAAACATCAGGGACGGGAACGAATTTTTTTTGTTAGGAGGGGCACAATGTACACTAAATACATATAAATGAGTGTTTATGGAGTATATATACATAAATGGTGAATATATATAGAGATTAATATTTTTGGGATGAAGTAAATTAATAAATTACATATATAGTATATAATGAAACAATTTTTAAAATAATATTTAAGGAAACATATATAGCATACCAGGGAAGGAGAAATTTAAGGGGGGAAATTTTTACACATTTCCAAAAAAAAAAAAACAGAAAAAAGTATATATATACAATAAGGGAAGGAAAAAATTCATAGCTATTACTGGTTCTGACCCTGCCAAACATAGCCTAAATAAAAAGGGAATGATGTTGATTAAAATAATGAATTCTACTTAAATATTTTTAAAGTAATGTCTTTATATAATAAATCAATACGAGTATTTATATAAATGGTAAAAAATAAAATAAATAGTTGCTTATTTGAAAGGTTAATGACACAAAACTCACTTGAATGGTAAAAAAATTGGATGTTATTAACTTGGAATAAAAAAATTTGCGAAAGTTTGTAAATAGGTTTGAATACTGTTATATATATATATATATAAGTTGAAATAATCCAACTTATTTAGGGAAAAAAAAAGAAATAATTCAACTTATGTTAGGATCATTGAAGCTTTAGGGCACAGCGGGCTTTCGAACTGCACTTCAAATTTAAATGATGTGCGAGGCTGATACACATGCTCTAACATGGAAAAAAAAATAAGATCATTGAATATATCTTAAAAAATTGTTAAATTAAATTAAAATTAATTGCATAAAATTCTTTAAAATATGATTAAATGCATATTAATGATTTGATTATACTGTTGACATTTCTATCGCTAATTTACAGTATTTGATAAAGTTTTGTGACATTCACATGAAAATCTCGAATTTTTGAACTAATTTTTAATTTCAATTTCAACTTTTTTATTATTTATTATTTTTTATATTCAACCCATTAATTATCTACAGCCAATGTGTGTTAAAAGGGTCGACAGTTTTTTTTTAACACCAACAAGAGAACAATTTATTGAGAAAAAGAAGGCAGTCAAATCCAAAAGCCAACTGGACAATTCGCTTATTATGACGCTAGCCGCAACTAGTTCGGACACAAAATAATTTTCCTTGGTCTCGAGTGTTTCTTTCTTTTAAAAAAAAAAAAAAAAAAAATCACGGAGAAGATTTTTTTATCTTAATCTCTAAGTTTGAAATAGGCGAGACATCTCCGTATTTGTTAAAAGCCGATATTTTCGCTTTGTGTCCGATCTACATTTCCGTATCTGAAAGCTAGGGTTTCTCAATTCTCCTCCTAGATTGCACACAATCCACAACTACTTCCCGTTTTGATCTCAACATCGGAGGTTTGTCCTCTCTCTATACATATGTGATATATGTATGCGCTCTTTAAAAAATTTCTCTTCAGATTTCATTTGTACCGTCTTTCTTTCTGAAATTCGTCGTTCTGACGATTCTTCGTATATATGCGTCTCCATCTAACTTTTAGAAGTGCTTGATTCTTCGTACCGTTCTGAAATTCATGGTTTACTATAAAGTTGTTCGCTTTAAAAATTTAAAATCCCTTCTGAATCGGTGTAATTCTATACATATATTTTGCAAATTTTTCGTGTGAATTTTCATGTAATGCACGATCTTCATTATCACTACGAATAGTTGGTCATCACTTTTTTTTTTTTTGGTTGTAAATTTTAGTTTAATCTCACGGTTTCTGGTTATTATAGCATGATTTTTCGGTAATTGGTATGAAGATTAATTTTTTTTTTTTGTTAGTGCCTTTTATATGTTGAACACTCAATTGTACTATTCTAACAAATCAATGAATGTATCGCTTGTTTAAACAGGTTTTTGGGGTTAATGGCATTGTTTTTTCGGTCATTATTGGATTACTTGTTGTTGATTTTACTTCTTTTCTTTGATTGATCAGGGTTTGACCTTTGAATTATAGATAACAATATTCTCATTTTGTGGCGGTAAGAGGAATTTGGATCAGAGTCTTATTTGTTGGGGGTTACTGTCTCGGTTGTGATTCTGGATTAGGAATTTGAGTTGGGTTTGTCAGCTATTGTTGAAAGGGAGGGGTCAAAATTTCAATATGAGAACTTCTTGGGCGGATTCTGTTACTGCTGCTGAGACTGTAGTTTCTGGCAGTAATAATAATGTGAGTGGTGGAGCTTCACGTCCCACCAAATCTGCTTATGTTCCTCCGCATCTTCGTAACAGGCCTGTATCGGAGACACCAGCTCCATCATCTAGTGGTCCAACATTAGGTAATGGTAGGATGCACAGGGGAGATTCTAGGTCTGACTACGGGTACCAAGGTTATACTGGTGGTGGTCGGGTTGGTGGTGGCGGCAGTGGTTGGAGTGGCAGAGGTGGGGGGTGGGACCGCGGGAGGGGCCGAGAGGTAAACCCCTTCGGTAATGATGATGTTGATGGTGATGCAGAGCCTTCATTTGGTGAGCAGGAAAATACTGGTATAAACTTTGATGCTTATGAGGATATTCCAGTTGAGACAAGTGGAGATAGTGTGCCACCTCCCGTGAATACATTTGCTGAGATAGACTTGGGGGAGGAACTGAATCGAAACATTCGGAGGTGCAAGTATGTCAAGCCGACTCCCATTCAGCGTCATGCGATCCCCATTTCTCTCGGGGGTCGGGATTTAATGGCCTGTGCTCAGACCGGGTCTGGCAAGACAGCCGCTTTTTGCTTTCCAATTATTAGTGGAATTATGAGGGGGCAGTTTGCAAGACCACGTGGATTACGGACTGTGTACCCACTTGCTCTTATTCTCTCTCCTACAAGAGAGCTCTCGTGTCAGGTTGATTTGTTGCTAAAAGGATGCACTTGGTGCATTTATTTATTTATTTATTAATAATTTAGGAAATAAGGATCCTTACATTTCATATTGACATGCAGATACACGAGGAAGCTAGAAAGTTTTCCTATCAAACTGGTGTCAAGGTGGTAGTTGTTTATGGAGGAGCACCAATCAACCAACAGGTTTTTATTGCCCTTTCAGTCTCTGGTCATATATGTAGAAGTATGGAATTGAGTTGCACGGTCTTGGTTCACAGTCACACTTGATTTTCATTGATAATAATTTTGGTGTAAACTAAACAGTTTAAGATCTGTTTATGCATGAGTGGATGTAACACCTCTTAATGCCATCTTTTGATTTGTTTTTGGAGTTGATGCCTGTGTAAGTTGTAGCTTATGGATATTTATGTCCTTTTTTTCCATTGATTTTTTTCTTTTTTAAAGTTTCTTTTGTTATTAAAAATCTAAATTGTCTTGTATAAACTTAATAAATAAAAATTAAGTTAAAGATGCTTGAGTATTTGTTTTTTTGACCTTTCTACTGACTTCGATTTGTCATCAAATCCTTCCATTCCTTTATCTTATATGGCTGTAAATGGACCTTTATGAGCTTCCAAAATATTTTGTAGGCCATGACCAATGCCCCAATTGGTCTTATACTTGTGACCTGCTATCAGGAAAAAAAATTGCAAATAGGAACTGAGAGAACTTCCCATTTATGTATACGATGAAACTTGCCGCCTAATGTGCCAAAAGATGCATTTTGTGAATATCTACTTTGAGATACTTGTTATATGCATTTCAGAGTTTCACTTATCAAAAAAAAAAAAAAAAATGCATTTCAGAGTTTTGGAGTAGTGTTTTTTTATTTATTTTTAATGCCACTTGCTTCCCTTTCTTTTCTAGAGCGCATTAATTTGATGTTTTGGGGTAAGCAAAGTGTAGTGACTATAGTCCAGAAGTTCCTGTTCAGCTACTTGCAAAATGGGGAACTGTGTACTGCCTTTTATTTTTTCCACCAACACACTAATTATAGAGCACTTAGGTTTTAGCAATACTATCCTAACCCAACCCCCCCCTCCCTCTTTTTTTTTTTTTTTTTTTTTAATTCCCACAGCTAGCTGAAACTGGCCTACATTTTTTCCCATTTAACTTCGTATGTCGTAATATTGACGCAGGTTTATCAGTATGCATATAGTCATGTTTGATTAGTCCAGCAAGTGCATTGATGTGGTAGTCTTGGTTATTGTCTATCCTTGTTTGCTCATGTTACCATTGACTTTAGATTGAGTATCTTTTATCATTACCAGAGCCAATTGCAGCATCATCTTGAACTGATATTGTGTTACTGTTCGTACATGTGCAACACTATTTGTTGATTGTATGTGATAGCGGAGCAGGGTAGTGAGAAAGGGATGGGTGTAAAATTGGACACTTGGCAGATGTAGGCATACATGGTGGCTTTGCAGGGGATTTTGTTGTAATTTAATTGGATAAGGCTTGTAGAAATTGGTTAGATCTGGCTGAAGTCTTGCTTCTTTGTAATATGCGACTCTTTGAAGTACAAGCTACTCATGGTAAGGAGTGTGGATGTTGTGAAATTGGTGATTTTGGAGGAGAAGTGATGGTGCAGGACGATGGTAAATTAGCCATTATCGGGGTCTTGGAATTTTCCAATAAAGGATTTTATCTAGTTAGACTTCTAGATGTTTTTTTTTTTTTTTTTTTAGGACTTTTATCTAGTTAGACTTCTAGATGGTTTTTTTTTCTTTCTTTTTTAAAATCATATATTGTAAAAGCTTTTTGGGGCTGTTTTCTCTCTGTTTGGCAGTGTGGTCAGGGGATTGAATACAGATTCCAATTGCTCCATCATTGGCTTTGTTCAAGTTACAGGGAGGGAAAAATAAAAGTTGGCATTATATAGGAAGTTTTGCCCTTTGTAGCATGGAGAGTTGAGCAGCTTTGAACTAATTCTGGTTAGTAGGAAAGAGGACATTGAGCATCTCACTTTCGTATATTTGTTTTGGGCGGTAGAGTGGCATCTCTCCCTTTTTCCTCTCAGGTTTGCTATGGCATTCCTCCTTCAAAGCCAAAGCAATCTATAGTGATATATAGAGAGGTTGGCTGGGGGATAGCTGGAGTACCGATGAGGGACATTGACTGTAACCAAGAGCACATTGATCCTTCTCCTCGCTCGATGTCCTTCTTCACTCTCCCAGTTTCCGTGGTTAATAAGTTAGAGAAGCTTTAGCTTGATTTTCTTGAGGGGGGTGGAAGAGTTTAAGTACCGTGATGTATATTGTTAATACTGTTTGCCCTCTGATTTGAGTTGATGAATTGGAATGAGATGTCTGAAGGAGTTTCATAAGGCTTTGCTAAAGTAGTTGGAGATTTCTCGAGGCATGATGGATTAGGGTGTAGGGTTGTGGCCTCAAAATAAGGGACTTGGGGAGTAGGTCTATGAAGTGCTTGGGGCACATGAGGTGGGAATGTGGAAGAGCTTTAGGAGTGAATGGGGAACATTTTGCTGCAAATGTTCATATTTTAGTGGGGTGATGGGGGTTGATTAGATCTCGATTAGATGTTTAGTGTGGAGGATCTTTGAGAGAGGTTTGTCATCATTTGTTTCAGCTTGTTTAGGTTAAGGAAGCATTAGTTGCTGATGTTCGTAGACTTGACTGGAATGGGGTATTTTGGGATGTTCAATTATGAATAAACGAATTACAGTGCGATTGAGCTAATTGTGGATATATTAGAGCGTTTGCAAAGTGTGTGACCAGGAGGAGGGGTGTATGAGATCTGGTGGAAGGCCTTGAAGTTTTGAAAATTCAGGTGAAATTTTTTACATTAGTTGGTGGAGTCATTAGATGGGAGATTCCTCAAAGTTATATGGAAGGTTAAGGCTCCTTCTAACGTGGCTTTCTTTTTGTGGACTGCAGCTTACTAAGAAATCCAGATTGATAATCTGATTGTGAGTGATAAGTCAATATCCAACTGGTGTTGCATGTACAAGGAAAATGAGTAGACTGTGGCGCGCCTCCTCATTGATTGAAATTTGATTAGGGGGTTTGATCTTTTGATTTTGTGCCGCTCAAGTCTGATGGGTGTTTTCCAAGATAGTGTGGGATTTGCGTCTTTTTTCACAAGGGGGTTTGAGGAGGTGGTGGAGGAATGCTTGGAATGCGGTTCCTCTTTGGTTTATCGGTGCATGGGGAAGTGGAACTTTTGACATTTTGATGGGGTGGAAGAGCTGTCCTATGGAATAGAAAGTAGATTAATGGCCATTTAGCTGGGTGTTATGTCGGGTTAATCCCTCGATTGATACTTTCTTGGATTTGACTCCTTGATTCTTGAAAAAATATTTTCCTAAGCCCATGAAATTTTATTATAATTATAACTTGCATTAGACCAAAACCAAATGTACTAAATTGAGTTGGGGTCTTTTTATGGTATGTTTTTGAGCCTCAATATGGCCATGGATTGAAAAATCTGAGAAGATTTAGGGCGCTTTGGTTCTTGTTTTGGGTAACCTAAACAAACCCAAATTTTTGTGCACTCTTGTCAAAAGTGAGGGAAAGGGAGAAGTGACAACAAAGTGGAGGCACCTAATAGGATTTTGAGTTCCACCAAAACTCCACCAGTGACTTGAAGCATCAAAAGATGAAATAAATAAATAAATTATTCATTTGGGGTAGATAAACCTAAACACTCTAAATATTTAGGACATATATGTGTTGAGGGACGATAATTAAAATGTTAAATGTTGTTTTTTTTTATATTTTATTTTTACAAGGGATAACCCATATATTCCGGTTAGCTTTTGTTATATTTTTTAAATAATTATTGCATAACTTGAGAAGATAAGGCTCATTAGTTATCTTGTACATTATTTTACAATCATGTTCTTTTTTCAATATAAAAAGCGTCGGATGTAATACATTCTTGACTTGCGCCACATGTATATTATTTTTTTTGACAAATTGCCGAGTGTGTCGGTAGAATGTCGTGTCCAAGACAATGCTGTACATGGAAAAGGCTCCTCCTAGAAGGCACTTGTGTTGAATGGGAAGAAGGGCTGGAGGGGAGGGAGGAGTAGGTGGGAAGAAATGGAGAAAGAATAAAAGAAAGATTCTTGTAAAAATTTGCCTGTATGTTCAAAGTTTTGGACTATTATAGATCTTGAAATTGTAAAGCAGGACAATAGGAGATTAAATAACCTGTACTCGTGCGGGTTCCGTTATCAAGAAGTGTATCAATGGCTGCTTTTACCAATTTCTCCTGACACGTTTGTGACGCTGTCACGCTGAACTGGACTCCCGATAGATAAGATAAAATCAGAAATACTCTTTATCTCATACTTGTCTATCGATACATAATCTAATGCTTTAAAAAAAGAATAGAAAAATTTTCTCATGCAGAGAAGTCTTGATGAAAAGGTAAAACTTTTTCTAGGATATCTTTTTATATGGACCCTGGTATTTGTTTTGCCAACAGTTTTCCGCCAGTCTCAGGCCTGCCTAGCCCTTTTTTATTCTTTTTTTATTGTCCCTACTAACCTTCCAAGCATTATAGCTGAGCCCAGGAGAGGTCAAGTAAATGAAAAAGAAAAGAAGAAGGATAAAAGGATATTGACCATCATGTTGAAGTTTCCAGAATTTGGTTGATCAGATATATCCTATGTTTAAGGATAAATTGTATAATTGATGTTGGCGTTGAAGTATTCATTATTCCTAGATATTGACATATATTGTAGGCCCATTCAGACAAAGTGAGCAGTTGATTGTTTAGTAGCAACAGCACTTCTCCTTCGGATTTAAGATGGTTATCTAATGGCAGGGACGGAGCCACTAAAGGCTCTGTTGGGGGCAGCTGTGCCAACTTAAATTTCCTTTTTATTTTCTTCGACATCGCACAAAAAGTTTCTAAAAGCTCTTTTTGTCTTTGGAAAAATTATAATCTAGTGAGGGGAATAATATTTGCACTACACTCAGTTTGCTTTTTCAAAGGTAAATGACTTAATTTATCATTAAAAAGCATACTGACTTTACTGTGTAATCACTTTAATGACCAAATTTAAAGATAATTGTTATTTATTGGTAGTGCAATGTTTGAGATGAAATCACTGGTGACTTTTATTATTATACAGTGACCATGACCACTGTAAAACATTTGCTTCTCTTTGATTACTTAATCTTTAGCATGATTGTTGTGTTTGGACCTCCAGCGTAATATATATTATAAATCCAGGCCCATTCCAGTTATAATCATTCAAAAACAAAACCCATGACCCAAATCCAATATTCATCTAAAAAATGAACAAATTCACAGTCCTTTCTTCATAAACTAGTGAGGTAGTACGGACGTTTGTGACTATACAATTCGGTCCTTTCCACGTATCAAATCTCGTCTCTCCAAAGTAAATTTATGGTTCCATCATTATCAATTGTGATCGTGAAGTTTCTATTTTTTTTTTTTATAGGTATCATAGTTTTTTTGGTAGGTTAGATTTTATATCAAGTCCATCCTCTCTCCTTTTTTTTTTTTTTTTTTAAACATCAATTTCAATTGCTTTCAAATTTGGTGGTATCTCTTGGATATGCCAATTAAAAATACTTATGTATGGAGAGAATGATAGCCAAGTTGATGACTTATCAAAAAAAAAAAAAAAAAAGAAGGCCAAGTTGATGGAATTTTGTTTATTGAAACTTTTTCTATACAATGACCGTGATCACTGTTGTCAATATTGATCCTGAAGTTTAATTGAATCTGATAGTGGCCAATTTTGTTCTTATTTATCTATCGTGTTAGAATGTTTCTCTTTTTTGACATAATTAAAGTATTCATCTTTTCTGAATAGTTTTCCTAAAAAAAATAAAAAATCCCACTGATATTAAAGCAGGAAAAATGGATTTTTTAAAAAATAGTTAAAATAAGTCATCTCTTTCAAAATATGATCCAAATTCAATCTTTTTTTCCTTTCTAAAACAGATATATATACGGTGGGGTTAACTATAATAATTTTTGTATGGCGTGTTTGGAACAAGTTGTCATTATCACTTCATTTAGTTGTTTAATTATCTTATTATCATGAAGTCTGTATTATTTTGTATAGATTTCTGAATTTTGGTGTAGACTGAAATCATATTCATTATATGCCAATGTTGCTGCTTGGGATACCTGGTTTGTTTCTCATTTGATAAGCAGTGGCTGCCTTTGGTTACTATAACCTGATTGCAAGTAATATTACCCTTTTTGCAGCTGGACTGAGTATCAAATATTTGAAACCTAGTGCTTGTTATTAATGGCTTGTTCTGTGTGGTCAGTTGCGAGAGCTTGAGAGAGGAGTTGATATTCTCGTGGCAACTCCTGGACGATTAGTTGATTTGCTTGAGAGATCGAGAGTGTCGTTGGAGATGGTAAGATACTTGGCTCTTGATGAAGCAGATCGAATGCTGGATATGGGATTTGAGCCTCAAATCAGGAAGATAGTGGAACAAATGGACATGCCTCCCCGAGGCGTGAGACAAACAATGCTGTTTAGTGCTACTTTTCCAAAAGAGATTCAGGTCTGTTCATTGTATATAAAATTTCTTGTCAGTTTTTTGTTGTTTATATTGTTTTTATCTAATGCCATAAGCTTTTTTTGCAAAGTAATCTCTATTGTAGTATCAGAATATTATTTTGATTATTTTTTCTTTTCTGGAAGAATCTGATTTGATACTCAGACGATCTTGACTGATCAATTTGCTTTTGCGTACTAGTAGGTTTCGTTTTAACTTTTCATAGGTGTCCTAGTTTTGATATTCACATGGATTTATTCTACTCATAACCCCCTCCCCCTCCCCCTCGCAATGGGCGTGCGCTGTTGCTTCTAGGTTGTTAGTTTACATTCTGTTGTCTGATGGTGAGGCAGCATGGAATGAGTCGAGAGATGTGCAACCAAATTGGCATTTTTTCTTTTTCCCCCCTGGTCTGTCTGATTTTATTTTTATCTTTTTTTGTATTTTGTTTCATATACAGAGACTAGCATCTGATTTTCTTTCAAACTACATTTTTTTGGCCGTCGGAAGGGTTGGTTCAAGTACTGATTTGATTGCTCAAAGAGTTGAATTTGTTCAAGAGACTGACAAGAGAAGCCACCTTATGGACCTTCTTCATGCACAGAGAGCTAACGGAAATCATGGCAAGGTAATACGAGCTACACTTTCTCATGCAATTTGTACTTACCTGTGGAATAATATATACTTAATATTAGTAACATACCAGTGAGTTTAAGCTCTGCTGGTATCTAGAATTTGATTCCTATAACATTAGTGACTACAGAGAAAAGAAAAATAAGATGAAAAAATATACTTACCTTTGGCTTAATCTTCTGACTGTTATTTTGGCAATAAAACTGTAGTTTAGAGGCTATCTATTCGGTTCATTTTTTTTTTTGATAAGTATCTATTCGGATCATTTTTATGGCTGGTTTATAGTTAATTGTCTGTCACTTAATTTGCAGCAATCTCTGACTTTAGTATTTGTGGAGACGAAAAAGGGTGCTGACTCATTGGAACATTGGTTGTGCATTAATGGGTTTCCTGCAACTACAATACATGGTGATAGAACACAGCAGGTGAGTTAACAATTTTGAGAATGTACACTGTTAGTTTGATTTTTGTAAATGTTATCCTTAAGAGTTTCATTAAAATGTGTGCTCCTTAATATGCTAATGCCACAATGCCATACATTGTTAATTTATCACCTTATCTGAGTTGAGAATCTCAATTGTGTTTTTGATAACTACTAAGTCCACAATCTAGAGACGTGAAAGGATATGATGTTTGGACTTTTATATTGTACCACACTTGTTGCATGTGACAACGAGGCTGGCCAAAGCTAACATGGGATGAATTTATTGGAAATGATTTTCAAATGTTAATATAATAGGAGAAATGACTTGTGGTGGGATACAATGGAAAAATAGAATTTGGACGGCCAACTCCAGTCTCCATTCATATAGGATCAGAGGAGGGATGATGATAATGATCTTATTTACGAGGAAAAATAATAATTTATTCTGACAATCTGTTTGCTTATCAAGAAAATTATTAATTAGTTTAAAGATATCATTCATGGAGCTAGTTTATAGATGAGGTAATTTTTTTGAGAATTAAAGTAGAAAAGCTATAATGACCTGATGGAATTCTTATTGAGGCTTGAGAGTGTTCGAGTGACGATGGTACAGTTTGGCTGACTGATTTGTTTATCAAGATTGTGCAGACTTTTTAGATGCTCATTTAATGGAAAAGAAGTGTTTTGAGTGCCCCTTTATTTAGAATATAGGTGCTGTCTAATTTGGTCATCTAACTTGTAGTTCTTATGAGTCGCGCAATGAAACTTTGGGAGAGTAATTGAATGAACAGTACATTAGACAACAATATTGAAAATCTGTGTCTTAGCATCTGAGGTCTACTGTTGAATCTGTTTTCCTATTTCAGCGATTAAAAGTTAGTATAAGTTAAGGTCCTTTGGAAAATAACTTGGAGGGCTTTTTTTTTTTTTCCCTTTCCCGCAATAATTAAAATAACCTGTAGAGTTTTACCTTTTTCATGCTTGAGCATCATTCGCCATAACAGTAATAAGGAGCAAATTGTTACGATGGCTCTCACAATTTGCTTACCTTATCCTAGATCCGTTTAATTTCTTAATTAGTAAAGAGTCCATCCTTTATTGCGGACCATCAACCATTTATGATAACACGATTTTCGCAATTTATATTTCCCAGATATGAACACCCTCATATACATATAACCCATTTGTGTAGTCAGTCAAGTGGACACCTCGATTTAAATGCCGAATCGATGAATACACATCGTTCACCAATTACATATAAAGCATATAAACCCCATATATATACATGGGATAAAATGTCTTACATAATCCATTAAATTGCCTATGCTAGGGCATAGAATACCAACTTTTTTTTGATGAAGTTCTTATTTTGATGAGATCATAATGTCGGCTATTTCTGTTAAAACTTTGAATAGAAATTAAGTAGGTAGGAAAGAGTGAAATTTGTGTGAAAATAGGAAATTTAGAAATTCAAAGGGATCAGATTAGATCAGATTTGTATTGGATCTGAAATGAATTGACATATATGTATATTATAGTAGTCTGGACCACAAATGAGAGCTAATAAGGAAATCGACAATCCCATAGAAAGACATCTTTATGGGGGAGAAATGTGACAACCTTTGTGGGTGGGTGTGATTTGGGCGAGCACTGGTAGGCTACGGGGTGTCACGATTCCACATTGCCTGGAAGAGGTGAAGTGCTATATGTACACTCTTCTATGACACAACGCGTTTTAAAGCCGTGATGACTGTGAACCTACTAGAACTTCGGAGTTAAGCGTGCTTAACTTGGAGAATATTGTCTCTGGTCCGGGAGTGCAAAAAGCGGACAATATTGCGCCTGGATAGGGTGAGGGTTGTTACAAGAAAGTTACGCATTGAGTATGCTCCAATGGGTTGTTACAAGAAAGTTACGCATCGAGTATGCTCCAATAAATTTCTAGCCCTTATTATCAAATAAGGAAGTGAGCTTGCGAAGACAATTTTAAGGAGTATAAATTTAGCAAGATTAGTAGCCAGCATGAAGGTATAGTAAAAATCAATGGCAAGACTTATCTTAGCTGAAATTCTAGTACTTTCTGATTATAGGATCAAATATTCAGAGAGAAATTCAGGAGGGCATTAATCATATAACTAAGAGTGGGATGGTTGAAGTGGAGAAGTCCTCCAAACGATATGTGATTGTAAAGTTCATGCTAGGCAGAAGAGAGTGGGCTATAAGAGCTATTTGGCCACTACTATTTTTGGTACGAAAGTTTGGCAATTAAGAAACATGTTAAAAGATGAATATTTCTGAAATGAGAATGTTGGGATGGATTAAGATATAATAAGTGTCATTTTAGATGTGCATTTGAGACCAAGTAATGCAATGGTTCAGAGGAGTGATTTGATCTAATAAGTCGAGGTGCCAAAAGGATGACTGAAACACGAAAGTGAAAAGGAGTTTTGGTGGGACTGCAAAAAATGACATGATTGTGTTGAATGTAACTGTGAATATGGTTTGGTAGGGAGTTGATTGGATTTGATTTATCATTGCAGCCAATCATGTTTGTGCTTATGATGATTACGAGTCGGGTTCTGCTGGGTGTTTTCCTCTAATCAGGCTCTAAGTAATGGTAAATAACTGTAGGAGGTTTGAGCAAGCTATTATTGACAGAATGTAAAACAAGTATGATGGTAGTAATGACTGTAGGAGGTTTGTGCAAACTATTATGACAGAACTTTCATTGTTATTTTATTTTTATTGGTGGAATGTTGGTTACTAATATTTTCTTAAGTTTTTGCAGTCCTTTATTCCTCATTCCATGATTTGGCCTCATTGTGTTATCACTTATCAGAATAACAAACTTAATTATTATGCACGTGCGTACAGGAAAGAGAACAAGCATTAAGATCATTCAAGAGTGGAAATACGCCGATTTTAGTGGCAACAGATGTGGCAGCACGTGGTCTCGATATCCCTCATGTTGCTCATGTGGTCAATTTTGACCTCCCTAACGATATTGATGATTATGTACACCGGATAGGACGAACGGGACGAGCTGGCAAGACAGGATTGGCGACAGCTTTCTTCAATGAGAACAATTTATCTATGGCAAAGCCTCTAGCTGATCTGATGCTAGAATCTAATCAGGAAGTACCTGCTTGGCTCACTCGTTATGCAAGTCGTTCATATGGAGGGGGTAAAAGTAAGCGCTCTGGGGGAGGACGTTTTGGTGGTCGTGACTTTAGAAGGGATAGCTCTTTTAATAGGAATGGGGGTGTCACAGATTATTATGGTGGTAGTAACAGTGGTGGTGGATATGGGGTTCCTGGCAGTTACGGTAGTGGATATGGTTCTGGAGTAACCAGTGCGTGGGATTAGTGTCCACAGTGCACTGGATTTATTTTCTTGTAGTATATATATTATTTTTGTCAAAATTTAAGGATTATTATTATTATGTGTTACCTTTTTTCCCAAATGTAGTTGAGTTCCGTTTGCCTTGAATGTATGAAAAGCTTTCTCGAGTATCATCGAATGCTTGTGGTTATGTTGAGATGAATGTTGATTTCCTGTGTGGTTCGGTTGGTAGTTATTTTTTTTCATGCTCTGAGTGGTAGTGAACAAGGTAACACCCAGGCCAACAAGTAATTTCAAGATTAAGAACAATTCTGTATGACGAGGTCCGATTTGATTATATGTTGTAGTCTCATTGAATATAAATATCCAAATCATTCTTATTCACATTCCGTCTTTCTCAATATTCTTTATGCTACGGATGCTACGCATATTTTCTTTCATTTATATCGGACTTTCTTCCAAACACTGATTATAATTAGATTGTGCTTCTATATTTAAGTCTGTCTAATTTTATATATATATATATATATATATATTTATTTATTTATTTATTTGTTTGTGTTTCCAATATGTTTTTATATTTTTAGAAAATTAAATAAAAATTTCTCATTAAAGAGAGGTGTGAAGTGGGAACCACTAATCAAATTGGGTTTTTCTTTACTTATATTGTATTTTATATATACATATATATACACACATATGTATATGAATATGGATGTGAAAATTAGGATTTTTATTCACGGAAAAAATTTGTAGCTTCCTGAATATTGAAGAAAGAAAAAATTAGGAAAAAAAGAGATTAAAAAGAAGGGTGATTTAGGAAAAATTAAATTCATGTGATTGAATTATGTTGGGATTTGTTACCTTTCCTATTCAATGACAGTACTGTCTCTCTCTCTATCGTATATTCTATCAAAAGAATTACTTTCACAATTTAATTACTAGTTACTTTATTCGAATTATTTTGTAATACAATAATTTGTAATATTTAATATTTTTTTTGTAAAGTATCACTACAGATTTATTTAAATCTAGAGATATAACTCTTTTGAAGTCATAAACGAAATTGTTGTTTATTTTTTGAAGTTGTAATTCAAATTTTATTTTGAGGCTTAAAATTTCACGTAAATCTTTATATTGTGTTTCTTGGGTTTTGATTTACTTTGTGTAACACAGTGCCAAATCTAAATATAATATATATATTTTATTTTTTTATTTTTATTTTTAAGAGTCGGTCATAAGTTGGATAGTAGATACTATACTGAAAATGGCAATCTCATATTTCCCGCTCGTTCCAATCGATGAAAAATTCAAACGCAGCCTTAGCCCGTTGCGCCTCTTTACTCTCTGCCTACTTAGTTCGGCCCCTCTCTCTCCCCTTGAAACCTAGTTATTCTCCAACATAGAATGACTCGAGGCGCTAAGCGAAAGTCCAATCAGGACATTCCGTTACCGCTAGGGTCTTCTTTTGCAGCAAAGAAGGAAAAGAAGGATCCGACGGTGGATGATGATATCGGGTTCGCCGGAAATCCAGTTCCAGCCAACGAAGCGAGGGAAAAGTCGTCATTAGGGTCTTCTTTTGCAACAAAGAAGAAAAATAAGCTTCCCACTGCAGATGAAGACATCAGCTTGGCTGGAAATCCAGTTCCGGCCAACGAAGCCAGGGAAAAGTCGTCATTAGGGTCTTCTTTTGCAACAAAGAAGATAAAAAAGCTTCCCACTGTGGATGATGACACCAGCTTGGTCGGAAATCCAGTTCCGGCCAACGAAGCCAGGGAAAAGTGGCCTGAACGTTACCAGTCCAAGGTCTCTCCGCGAATTTTTATATTTTTATGCTTTATATAATCATTATGAATATCATTACAATCTTTGACAATATTTTATATCTTTATTTCAGTCTGATTCTGCGTTTCTTTTATGTTCCTTGTTTACAGAATAAGGTCAAGACTGTTATTTCTCCTAATGGATCCGAAGAGTGAGTGATTCTGTATGTTAACATCAGTACATATGTGGATCTAATTGTTCTTTTTATTGTGTTTATGGTCGTTCTTGTTTCATTTTAGCTGTGAATCCACTGAAAAAGAGGTTTTGCAAGCAAGACGTCACTATACTCAAGCCATTGTGGATGGTTGCATATTCAAGCTTTATGATGATGCATATGTCAAAGTGAGCTCTCTCTCAACGTCTGTGTATATATATATGAATCTGCATATTTGTGTCCATGCTCTGTAAACTTACATTTTGTGCATATCTAAAAATCTATTCAATTATGTATTTTTGTGTCTATACATGCCATAGAAGTTCTGATGCCACTTGTTATTCCAGTAGATTTAAATTCACTCACAAATAATAAATTTGAACAAACAAACATCTAAAAGAAACCATATTTAACTTCGTTCAGCCCAAAAATGAACTCACAAAATTGAAGCTTGAGCTAAATTCTGTTTTCTTCTCCATGATGCTCGAACTCTTGTGATTTCAGGAGTACTCTCTTTCCTGAAACTATAATTTCCAAGTATGTTTCAACCTAAGACATCTCCAACATAGAAACATGATCACAAAGAAAATTCCAAATAATCTCCATGGTGGCTTAAATTCTATCAGCTAATTGTTTCTTTCTGTATGAAAATTGGCTCTGACTTTGTGCATGGCCCATCTGCAATTAGAATCATCACGGCTGTTGAATCTTTTTTGCATATTCCAGATGTCCCAATATCAGAAGCCTTCATTCTATTGTTACTTGTTGGACATTGATAATGCTTGTTAAAGGGGTTGATACAAAATTCTGAATAATATTTTCATGTTTTTATAAAGCTTTGTATGGTTTTAATGAATGCTTTGTAATGACACTTGTCCAAATGTAGAATTATTTGTTTAATAAAATTTCTTTTATCAGATTTGATTTATGGATATCATATTATGTTTTAGCAACATTTAATTTATTGAAAGATTATTTGTAGACTTTGTTATATATTTTCTAATGATAGTGGTTGTTAGTGAAATTGTTACATCAAATTGAATAATTCTTGCAATCTGTACTAGTGACCAGGATTTCTGAGATTAGGTGTTCTCAAGGAACCAGGAATGCTGATCAAGGTTTCACATGTATACATATAAGGTTGACATGAAGTGAGCTATTGGTTGGGCCATTTGATGGAAATTTTGTTATGGCTTGATTTTCCAACACATCACTATTATACCAGAGTTGATCAATAATAATCCAAAAATGCTTTGGTCTAAGTTCATTTTTTGGATTCTTATTTTATAAATTTGGTTTTATAATTTTCATGCCAACTAGAGGCCATGCCTGCACTTCAATAACTGTTGTTTATTCACACTTCAGCAAATTTTGATGTTCGAAGTTCGAACCATATCTGGTGCCATTATTATGGGTGTACATGCATATGAGTGCATGTTAAACTGTCTCAGTTTAAAATAACGAGAGGGAGCTACATAAGAAGATGCTGGCGTGTTATATTTGAAATCGGACTGAAAGTATGGTTTTGCTTTTATATTAAAATACCTGCTTATAATTTTTGTAGCCATATTATTCACTTGCATCTTGTTATCCAATTAACTGGTTACCTGGATTGTAATATGGATGGTAAGTTTTGTAGATACCAGTATTTTTCTAGTACAGGAATTCAAGTAGTATTTTGTTTTTATGGAATATGTATATACTTTCTCTTATTTTCTACTCTATTTTTAATGTGTTAGGCTGAAAAGGGAGAACCTGATTTCATTGCCAAGATTGTGGAGCTGTTTGAAACCATTGATGGAGAACCGTATTTTACAGCTCAGTGGTTCTATAGAACTGAAGATACGGTAAGGGCTATATAACTTATCCATTATATTTATTTTGATTGATATTTTCATTCACTAATCTTCAAATGTTTGAATATTTCTAGATAATAAAAAAACAAGCCCATCTGGTTGACCAGAGACGAGTGTTTTACTCGGACATAAGAGACGACAATCCGTTGGATTCCATAGTATCGAAAGTAAAAATTGCCCGACTCCTGAAAAATGTATAACTATCACATACTTATTGTCACTATTAAATCCAGTTTTATATATGTCACATTAACTCCTGCTGTATGTATCAGTACATAGGGTGATGACTATCTACTTTGTGCAACAGGTGGATATGGCTGAAAAAGGGAAGGCAATCTCATCTTCTGATCTGTATTATGATATGACATATTCGTTGCCATACTTTACCTTTACAACCATAAGTACAGGTAATATTGTTCTGTTAAAAATGACTGCTGTAGTGTTTTTTCTGCTTTGACTCGTTAATGAATAGATGATACCATGGAAAGCCCATATAATGTGTGAAATTGTATACAATCTCAAAAAAATGTATATTTTTAGTTTAACTTAGGATTGCCTTTTGCATCATTGACTCCAGATCAGCTCAAGGTAGATAGTGATGCATCATCAGTAACATCAAGTGAAGCTAGTTCAAGCAACGCTCCAGGAGACACAATTGATTATTCAAAGTCTTCCGAAGCATGCAATCTTCAAGTTTCTGAGATGACTCTACTGGATCTATATTCTGGTTGTGGTGCGATGTCTACTGGCTTGTGTTTTGGCGCTTCCATTTCTGGTTTGAAACTTATTACTGTAAGTGAGAACTGAATTTAAATGCCATTTTCATTTATGCACAATTCCATGTAAAGATTAATCTCTTGATTGCTAATATGTTTTTTTTATCTGTATTTGGTTATTAGAGGTGGGCTGTTGATATAAATTCTCATGCATGTGAAAGTCTAAGGATCAACCACCCTGAAACTGAGGTGATATATGAGTTACTTTTCTTCTATTTTTTGTATGCCCCAATTTATCCACATCCCTCATCAATAGGAAAACTGGAATATGATTTTAGGTGAGAAATGAAGCAGCCGAAGATTTTTTGCATTTGTTGAAGGACTGGGAAAAGCTCTGCCAGGAGTTTCCTGTTGATTTTAAACAAGACAGCCTAGATAGTGATGAAGACGATGATGCTGCTGATGCGTTGAAAGTTCCTCACGGAGAATTTGAAGTGAGGAAGTTAGTTGCTATTTGCTATGGGGACCCCAACAATGTCAGCAAACGCGGATTGTACTTCAAGGTATTCAATATTAACTGAAAGGAATGGGTTATTGATGTCATGTAATGTGATTGACTTACTGTATTTTGTTTGTGCACCTTTTTTTATTATTCCTGATACCTGTTAAGTAGTAAAAAATTTGACCTCCTTTCCTTTTCCAATATATTCATTCAAGTGGTTGAAACGTCTTAGGAAGATATATCTTACTAAATATTTAAAATTGCAACAATATTGAATCAAGTTTTCCAAATGTAGATGTGCTTATGAGAGGAATGCTTGAGAAGCTATTTTAGTATGTTGTATATTTACATTGTTTTTTCATTTTTGTATAGTCATTTTAGGCTTAAATTGTAATAGGGTTAGAACTTGTATGTCCATAATCTTTTATAACGTTTAGAAGTTTTGGATAATGCTTTTAGATTGTCAAATATCATTGCCTAATGTTAAACTTAACAAACTTGATAGATATGCATGTCTTTTTAGATAAAATTTCCGAAATGCAATGCAATTAGCAGTTTCTTGTATGCAATAGGAAAATATCAGATACTGCAAATCTCATATGTGGGAATGCCTTTATTTTTACATGGAATAGTGCATAAATATAAAAAATTGGAAGACTTCTTTACATAAATGTTCCTTGAATATTATCACATACTAGTTTCCTCCTTATTCTCGAGAATCAACAATTGTTCATTTGTTCCTATACCTTTCACCATTCATATCTTCTTCTCAGTATTGCCAAGGTTGATCAATTTATAGTTGTCGCGAATTCTTTTCTTATATGAATGGTTATTATTCACTTCGAATTTCTCTTGTTATGAATAAAATACATTTAAAATTAAGAGAAATTCTTAATTTTACTTTCAGTTACTTTCTTTTTCTCTTCTTTTCCATCTTTCTTTACCCTAATAAATTTTTGCATCTATTAGGTGCGTTGGATGGGCTATGGTCCTAGTGAGGACACCTGGGAGCCTTCTGATGGGTTAAGGTATTCTATTTATTTACCCCTTGCTGTACTTTAATTTTTTGTTTGGCTGCCTATCACTTTTGTTATCCACACAAGACATATTTTCTAATGTTATTAATTCTATATCAGCAAATGCAAGGAGAGAATAAAAGAATTCGTGACAAGAGGTTATAAATCAAAGATATTGCCTCTTCCAGTAAGATTTTCATCTTTAGCATTTGAAGTTTTAAATGTTTTCTTATCACAGATAGTATCTTTTCTTTCTGTGGGCCATTTTATATTTTATTGAAGGAGTTCATTTCATGACATCTTTGTATTTCTTTCCATGTTTACTTAGGGTGATGTTGACTGCATATGTGGAGGTCCTCCATGTCAAGGAATTAGTGGATTTAACCGTTTTAGAGACCAAACTGACCCTTTGAAGGATCCAAAGAACCATCAGGTTGTGGTGTTTATGGATATCATAGAATTTTTGAAGCCTAAGTACATATTAATGGAGAATGTATGCGATATACTAAAGTATGCTGGAGGAGCTTTGGTCTCTTATGCCATTGGGCGTTTAGTGTCTATGAATTACCAAGCACGATTGGGTATAATGGCGGCAGGTTCTTATGGAGTTGCTCAATGTCGGATGCGAGTCTTCCTTTGGGGTGCCCATCAACTTGAGGCAAGTTTATTTCTGATACAGTAATTCTGTTATATCATGATTAGTAACTCACAATTCTTCTCATGTTTTAGAAACTGCCTCAATATCCTTTACCCACACATGCTGTCATTGGAAGAGGTATTGTAATAAATGAATTTAAGGTACGTGTACTGTTTATAGGCAGTGTTTGTGTTTAGTGTTTGATTGAACTATTTTTAATTTTCATGTAACATATCTTTTCCTTAAATATAGGAAATTATTGTTGGGTCTGACAACGGGCAGTCATGCATGTTGGAGAGGAGCACTTTACTAGGTGACACAATCTCAGATTTGCCACCGGTAAATGTTACTTTTAAAGTTATCTTATGGTTCTTATGATTAAATAATCTAATAATGCTTGAGATATTCAGTTGATATTTTTTCACATTAATTTAGGTCACAAATTATGAAAATCGTGAAGAAATGCTTTATGGTGGTGCTCCTCGTAACACTTTTCAAAAACACATTAGATTTAGAAACAAAGGTGAGTACAAAAACCCTTTTTCTTATGCAAAATGTTCACTTATGTGTTTTGTTAGGGTAAACTCTGCAATATTCCGTTGATGTATTGTATTTGTTCAACTACTTTTTCATAATGTCAACATGACATCTAGTCAATAACTATAATTATATAATTGGTATTTCATTGCCTTGATCAATCGGTATTTATGCAAGATTATCCTGAATCTTGCCAATATGCGCTACGATTAGGAAAATCGTAATAATTTTATTTTCCCATATTTCTCCACTCTCTTCCTTTGTTTCTTTCTCTAGTTTAAATCAAAATCTACTTGAAAAACATCAGAAACTGTAATCTTGATTAAAAAATTGATTGAACCTTTTAAGTAGGGCATGTTAAGTGATCATTGCATATGTGATTGAGCAACTAATTTATAGTTGAAACCATTTCTTTGGAAATCAATCTTAATGTATATTCCAATTGGCCTTTAGGGAGTTCATATCATCAAAATGTTATTTCTGATGTTCTAAATTTATTTTGTTGTACAGTTGCTGGACAGAAGAAACAAATGCTTTATGATCATCTACCATTGAAGTTGAATGAGGATGATTATGAGAGAGTCTGTCGGATTCCTAAAAGAAAGGTTTCCTCATTTTTATTTATTTATTTATTATTATTATTATTTTTTCTGAATCAGAAGTATTTAGTTAATTTACTTCATTTTGAATAGTCATTGACTGTTCACTGATTGTGTCTAAGAGGGAGCTAACTGCAGGGAATAGCCATTGACTGTTCACTGATTGTGTTTAAGAGGGAGCTAACTTCAGGGAATAGCCATTGACTGTTTAGCGATTGTGTTTTATTAGGGAGCTAACTTCAGGGATCTGCCGGGAGTAATGGTTGGTTCAGTTAATAAGGCACAATTGGACCCGTCAATGGAGAGAGTGTTGCTTCCTTCCGGGAAACCTTTGGTACTGTTCTGTTGCAAAAACCTCAATCCTTCTATTATGTACTCTTTTCTTTCGCTGATCAAGCCAATTCTGACTTCCATTACCAATTTACTTGTAAAACATAGGTTCCTGATTATGCTATCAAGTTTGTCCGTGGGACGTCAACAAAGTATGTGCTACTTATTTGTGTATATTTATTTTGACCATAAGGATGTTATAAAGTATCCAAATTCTTATATGTAGGCCATTCGGTCGGTTGGGTATGGATGATATTGTTACCACGGTAGTGACAAGAGCAGAGCCCCACAACCAGGTTTCAAAACTTAATAATTTTCTTCAACATACTATTTTTAATCATGATCAGGAACTTCGGCCAACTTTGAATTCAAATTCTTTTTTTAAAGGTTATCCTTCACCCAGATCAAGATCGAGTGCTAACCGTTCGTGAAAATGCACGATTACAAGGGTTTCCGGACTTTTACAAACTACAGGGGACTGTTAAACAGAGGTATCAGACTAAACCATACTTTCATTGCATGGTCTATATATATATATATATATGTATGTATGTATTTGGAGTGTCCTTGTTGACACTAACTGTTCCAAAACTTAAGAGTAGTGGTTGATGTTCTAATAAAACTGTAAACTTGTGTGATGTGAAAACCTTATCTATAATTAACATGTACTCCCAAAATACTTGTCCATCCACGTCTCAAAATACATGTCCCATTCCTAAAATGGATGCACTATTTTTTTATAACGTTCCTAAACTACCCTTTGACATTTACTTTATTAAACAAGTGTACTAATTTCGGAGCACTCTTTTGTTTTTTAGTAAGGATAAATTTGAAAATTTACTCTTTATTGATATAATAAAAAAAATATAAATTCTGCCATTATAAAAAGTTAGATTCCCCACCAAAATGGCCAAGAATTTTGTGTCATTATTTTTTATTTTTTTGGAGTTAATAGTAGTATTCCTCCATAAACTTGGTCGCTAATTCATAACTCCTAATTCATTTTGATATGGTAGTTAATCATCCCTAAAATTGGGTGTGTTTCTATTTTATTTTCAGGTATATACAGGTTGGGAATGCGGTTGCATTCCCGGTATCTATAGCATTGGGATATGCCTTGGGTAAGGCCAGCCAAGGAGTCCATAATAGTGAACCCTTGATGACCCTTCCTATGAAGTTCCCTGACTGTCTGAAAGATATTCCGTGCTTAGATGAATCTGACTGATTTTTTGTTGCGCAAATTCATAGCTGTTTGGTTGAAATGTAGGCTATTCTTAACCTTAGTGTCCCTTCCTAGCAATTTGGTTGAAATGCTAGTAGCCCATTCTTTGCAATTTGGTTGGAAGACATGCTATTCTTCACCATCTAGTTGGAGCAATGTTGATTTTTGCATCTATGGTTTTAATGTGTTTTTTGATCATGCCGGGAAATGTAACTTCAAAGTATAATATTTGAGATGTTAGAATTTCAAATGTTATTCAGATTATATAGCCGCACACTGGTGCCTGTATTGGCAACACACTTTTTCTTCTGTTTTCCTTTTTCTTTCCTTTCCCTTCACCGCCACTTCCCTATTGGCTTCTTAAGAAGCTTAATTACTATCATTGATGCAAGTGTTGCAAAAACTACATGCAGAATTTTTTTTTTGGTTAAAGAACTACATGCAGATTTGGATGCACTTTATTGTTACTTTTTAGTCGGTCGAAAAAGATTTTTGTTTGAAAAAATGGAAAATGCAAGTTGTTGGATTTATCTGATTGATAGTTGTATCACAAGTGAGATTGGATCAACAATTAAAATATTAGTGCAATTTCTGTCTTTAGCCTTAAACTTTATATTTAATGGTTTTCGTACAAACTAATATGCCTTTAAAAGTTTTTCTAAAGTTTTCAACCTTAAACCTCTCTTGTGATGCTAAACATTTTGGCTTTTGTAGTATGTGGAAACAACCCAAAATTCACTGTAAATTCATATACTGTGTGCAAAGAAACTTTATCTTTGATCCACTCTCTTTGAAATTTTATCACAACCATGAAATCAACCACTAATCCTTATGAAAACTCAATCGAAGAGACAAACCCTAGCTTGGAACCATGTGTATTCTTGAGTTTGACGCGTATGTCCGGCTAATTACTGAGTTCACATCTGCCCCTACTGTATATATGTATCCATAAAATAAAAAGTTCTCAGTACAGTAATGATGATGTTGATGTTGATATATATATAGAAATGCAGTATTTTTCATAACCACAAAAAACCACTTTATCATTGCTTCAACCCTTGCCATGCTTCACTTATGGCCTGGATGTTGAATTTTTGTTCTTGCAAGAGACTTATTTAGTAGCAAAACTACTTACATGTGCATAAAGTTTAGGGGTAGTGCAATTTAGTGTAAAAAAAGTTTAGAGGTTATCAATTTAATCAAAATGTCTAAGATGTCTGGCTTATCCAATAATTTCGGCAGAAAAGCCTTATTGTATCAAAGGCTTAGATGCTGTCAGTGGGACATTTTGACCAAACTAATAGGGTCTTAAAAACATTTGAAAGTTCACTACAATATGTTAGAATATTGATGATTGCCCATATCAATCTAAAGAGCACACAATATTTAAAATCAGGCACTATATTTTGAACGGTATCCATGAATTTTAGTTGCCTCACGTCAAGTGACAGTTACCTATGCACGATATTGTCACTACTCATAGTTCTCTTGCGAGGCCCACGTGAAAGTCAACAAATTATGTGGACTTGGCAAAAGAACTGTAAATGTGGGCCCACGAGGAGGGCAGTGAATACTGACAAAGTAGGCAAGGATGTAATGTTACGTTTGGTGTGCAAGAATGGAATGCTCATTCCAACTATTCAGTTATTTGGTGTACATGAATAGAATGGAATGACTATTCCAATAGAATGAAAATCCATTACAGGGAATGAAAATCCATTCCATAAGTAAACCTATGGAATGACCATTCCATTCTATAGTAAGATAAAATTATTTTGTAATATTCCCAATAAGCCCTTAATCACATTCCAATAAGGCAAAAATATTTCGCATTCACCAAAATCTTTCACATTCCATTTTTCATGTTTATCGATTTCTTTATTAGACGTGATAAATGTCTTTCATCTTCCCTCTCTTCTGAATATACCCAGAGTTGTATTGACAAAAAAATTGCAGGACTTTCAACCAAATTACAAGTATTAATTTCTTTATTTATTTATTTTTGATAAGTAAGTATTAAATCTCTTTTATCTTCTGTGTATATCACTTTTTTATTTTTATTTATTTTTTTTGTATCTTTGTATTGAAACATTTGTGTAATTTTCTCGAACCAAAAGTGGACTAATTTGACTTTTAGACCCTTAGTCAAGTTCATCGTTGGATGATTGGAGAACCTTGCTTAATTAGAATTTTATCAAAACTAGAATTTTCAAGAAATCTACAATAAAAAAAATTAAAAAAAAAATTACACAATTACTTGGAAATATTACCAGGTTTTTTTGTTTGGTTGATGATTTATTTATTCCTTAATTTTAGTTGAGTTGATCTTATGGTGCATGATTTTTTATATATTATTAAGATTGATATATCATTATATATATATATATATTATTTTTTAGCCTTTACATCAATTTCTTAGATAAAATATTCAATCATGATAAGTTGGTTTAGTTATAATTTTTTTATTTTTCTTTCTTCCAATAAAAAAGGCATTTTTGAAAAACGGCATTCCCTTCCAGATTTAATGATACTCAACCAAACAATAAAATGGTAATAATCATTCCATTCCATAACGATTCATCGTATTACACCAAACATTAGAATGGTAATACTCATTCCATTCCATTCACATTCTTATTCCATTCTAAATTTTATTTCATTCCATTCATGCACACCAAACGTAGCATAAGGATTTATTTGGTTAAATTTTTTAATAGTAGAAAACCATACAAAAACTTGGAGGTTTACCATACATATACTCTGGTGTAAATCGATTCATTTCAGAGCACAATAAACATTTTTCATGTAGTTGTGTACTTGGAGATCTTTTTAACTGATAATACTTGACTTTACCATACATGTGCTCCTGTATAAATTGATTCATTCTAGAATACAACAATCCTTTTTTGGTGAGTCATATACAACAAAGTTGATGATCATTTTATCTTACCACAAACTAGAGAGATCATTTTAGCGGATTATTGATAATTACTCAATGTTACGACACATATGCTCCATTAAATGGATTCATTTCAAAATATAACAAACCTTTTCATTTGGTCATATACGACAAACTTAATTGGAGATCATTTTAGTTAATGATACTACAACAAATTTAGAAATCCTTTAAGGAACATTGAGATAAATGACTGAATTTTGATTAAATGCAGCACAAGTGAATTAGCTATATGGAAATTACATATGCATTGTGTTGACGAACTTATAAACTTTTTATATGCTCCGGTGTTAATTGATTCATTTTAGAAAATAACAAACCTTTTAAATTAGTCGAATACGACAAACTTAGAGATCACTTTAGCTGATAACACTTAACGCTACGACAAACTTAGAGATGAAGATTGAAATAAATGACTGAATTTGATTAAATACCGCACAAGTGAATTAGCTATATGGAAATTACGTATGCATTGTGTTTGACTAGTTTAGAAACTCTGTATATGATCCAGCGTTAATTGATTCATTTCATAATACAAGAAACCTTTCAGTTCGTCGATCAGATACGACAAACTTAGGGATCACTTTAGCTGATAATACTTGACGTTACGACAAATTTAGAGATCCTTTAAGGAACATTGAGATAAATGACTGAATTTGATTAAATGCCGCCCAAGTGAATTAGCTATATGGAAATTATGTATGCATTGTGTTTGACAAACTTAGAAACCATGTATATGATTCCGTGTTAATTGATTCATTTCAGAATACAATAAACCTTTCAGTTCAGATACGACAAATTTAGAGATCACTTTAGTTGACGTTACAACAAATTTAGATATTTTGTAAGGAACACTGAGATAAATGACTAAATTTTGATTAAATGCTCCACAAGTGAATTAACTATATGGAAATTACATATGCATTGTGTCTGACAAACTTAGAAACTTTGTACGTGCGAAAAATTATACTTAATCATTCCATATGCTCCCGAGCCTCCTGTGTTAATTGTTTCATTGCAAAATACAACAAACTTTTTCAGTTGGTCGGATACGACAAACTTATAGATTGTCTTATCTAATAATACTTTGACGTTACGACAAATTTAGAGATCCTTCAAAGAATATTGAAATAAATGACTGATTTTTATTTTTATTTTTTGGAGATAAGGTGAATGAATTAAATGGAAGTCTGGAGTTCATTCGAACTAATTAAGGAACAGTACGTATGTGCTTATTTCTAGGTTGTAATGTTTGTCATTCTATTTAGTAATTGGAAAAACAGCATATAACTATGACCATCTATTCTATCAAATATGAGCACTATATTATTTGTAGTAAAGGAATATATATTGTTAATGGGATGTATGCTTTACATGGTGCTTCAGTGTTTCAATTATCCATTGGAAATCGCCATATATTAGGTCCAACAAATTAATTAACTGTATGAAAATTTGAGCATTAATTAATAATGAATTATAATTCTAGCTAAAATTGTTATATATTAGTTAAAAGTGTACCCACGATAGTGAGAGCTTGATGGACAGGAAACATAGCAGTACTCCGAAAGGGTGGCAAAACTCCAAAACCTATTATATATGTCTTAAATGTTTTTTCGATCAAAAGGCAACTCTTTGATATTTCTCATTGTAACATAATTTTTCTTTTTATTATTCTACATAAATTTTTATATATATTTTAATCCAAGGGGTTAAATTTTTATATATATTTTAATCCAAGGGGTTAGGGACTTAGTGACTCATGAATGTCTTAGAATTGAATCTTCTCAAGTGCAATCAATTTCTTAGGGGTCACGGCATAAATATGATCCGAGTTTTACCAGATTCACGTGGAGGGGTCGCTTTGCATGAGTCTCGTAAATTAGTCGGCCCAGATATCCCGATTAAAATAAATAAATTTATATTCTTTTCTTTCTTCTATCTTGATTTTATAGTTCTATACATTGGCTTAAGTTTAATTGATGATAATGCAACACAGACCCAACGCTGCTGCATAAAGCTCAACTCTATTTTTTGAAAGGTAAATATATATATATATATATAATATGAACATATATAACATGTGGCAAGAGCTTCACAATATCATCATTAACAAAAACTATTAGAAAATACATGAGCTGCTAAACCCTACTTTAATTAAGCCAAGGTCCATCGCTGATATAAGATATTCTGTGGACCTGCTTGACAAATGTTGTCCGATGAAGATGTGAAGAATATTGACAAACAGCTACTAATTCACTCAGCATGCTCTAATAATCTTGTTTTCTAGAGTTATTTAAATAAATTTATTCCTTTGCTTCTTAAATGTGTTACATTTTATTTCTGTAATGTTCACAAATATTTTTTGGATTAAAATAAAAATCTAAAATAATATTCCTAAACTACTCCGAACTCCGAAGTGTTGAAAAGTACTTAAATTAACAATGAATATCTATTTTAAATTTCACAAGGAGCACGAAATAAAAGCATGTGTTATCTCAAAAATTAAAGTCTTCAAAGCATATATTTATTTTTGGGTGGAGGAATTAGTTAATAGAAGCATTATCGAATCTCATGCACACTTATCCTCCTTCCCTCCAAAAATTTAAAAGAAAAAAAATCAATGAGATTTTTGTAATCTATATTAGAGGTTTTAATTATGAAGTTAGATTAATTAACACGAGACATGCATTTTCGTTTATATGAGCAGACCATTCAATTTGTTAAGTCATTACAACTCAGCAAGTGAGAGAATTATATATATTTAGGCAAATACTATTAATTTGAACTTATCCCTACTTAATGTGTGACCCATCTAATTAATTGTGTTTAGAGATAAATAAATGGTGAATTTATTTGATATAAATAGTACATATTTACTTAATACAAAATTATAAATATAAAAAAAGAACTGATTTTTTATATCAAATTTATCAAGCCGTATGATAAAATATTAAGGCAAATACTATAGATATTAATTTGAACTTATCCCTACTTAACAGTACAGCTAATTGTGTTTAGACTTTAGAGGTAAGTAAATGTTGAGTTTATTTTATATAAATAGGACATACTACATACAACATTATAAATATAAGAAAAGAAAAAAGAACTGATTATAATTTTTTTTTTTTCAGATATGATGATTATAAATATATAACTGTTTCTTAAATGTATATATTATGTTTGCTCACTGTGGGTTGCGGAAAATTGCAATAATTGGTTGTTGTGTAGACAATATATAATTTCTGGTTTTAATTTTAATTATTTTTTTACAAGTTGCATTTGTGGATGAAGCCATTGAGATAAAATTTTCTTTTTGTCTTTTTAATTGAAGATAAGGGATAAGTTTTGTTTCTGAAAAAGAAAGAATGTACAATAACTCCCAAGACAGTGGAAATTATTTAATTATATATTCAGAAAGAAAAGAAAGTAAAGTACTTAAATACCCAACAAACATGACTTTCTCATTCTTAATTTTGAAGAAGTAATGCGTGGTTTGGGTAAAATCGGTGTTAAAACAATAAATACTGGCACTAAATGAAGTTTATCAACACTTCTTGAAAATTTGACTTTAAATTAATTTATATATAATAGAGTAGAATCAAAGATTCCCAAAACCTGTTTAAATAACAGCCCCAGAGTGTTGCTAATCCACACCTCTCTGAAGATGCCAAAAAAATCAAGCAAAGTCAATAATTCTGGTGATGCTCCAAAATGGGAGTACCAGTGCATCTACTGCAATCAAACCTTCTTCTCCGGTCGGGCTTTGGGTGGCCACCAAAATGCTCACCGGTTTGAGCCCAGAGAGAAGAGAAGAACCCATCACCTGCGTGTGCCGATGCGATACCAATCTCTTGATGGATCATCTGGACCTGCTGCTGCTGTCCACTCACCACCTTCACCACCTAATTGGTCTGGTGGATATGGAAATTTCCCCATGACTGGCGGCCTTTGGCCGGCTGCTCCTCTCGGTCATGGAAATGGATTTCCGGCTCCACCACCGTTGGCGGCTCATGTTGATCACATGCAGCATGCAATCAATGTGGCTCCGGATTATCCATGGAATGGTGTGGTGGGTAGAGTTGGGATAAATCGTGACTTAAATGCTGTTGAAGTCACTTCCAAGATGAGGGTGGATATGGAGGTGGACTTGGAGTTGAAGCTTTAATTCTGAAAACTAACCCCCCATTCCCCCACCCACCCACCCCCCCCTCCTCTCTCTCTCTCTATATAATATCCAGCAGCGAGTCCTGCATTTCCTTGTATCAAATTGTCATGGTTGTAATGTTTTTTTATTTTTTATTTTTTTTAGGTTGCTGTTTGATGTATTTAGTGCTGATTCGTATAATGTTCATGTATGTTTAATTATGTATATATGTGTTTAATATATATATGTGTGTGTCTATTTCTGGTACTTATATATCGTTCTTGAAGTTTTCTATTAATTCTTCTTTTAACCTTTTGTTATCATTATTCCGTTACTTTTCTTCCATCAGTTAAGTCTTCTATATCATCAACACAAGAAGAAATTTAGTGAGATTACAAAGAAAATATATGAGCCCTCAAAATTAGGAGATATATATATATATATGAGCCCTCAATCCGCAGATGCATGTATATTAATATTCCTTCATATATATCGTTATCTACAATTTTCTGTGATACTGTAAGACATTAATATTCACATTTATTCCTTCTTTATACCTGATAAAGAAAAAATAAGCTTTCATTCCTTCTCTTTATTTATTGAATTAGTCAGTAAGCCTTGCTGTATTCGTAAAACTTTCGATTGTATATATTTTTTAATTATTGATTTGAAACTTGTAACACTAAATCTTACAAAAAAAAAAAAAATTGCAATTTTTTGTAACTCTTTTTATATTAATTAATAATTTTTTTTGTATTAATAAATAAATACTGAAATATTTTGAAATTGATAAAATAGATAATTTATGGTAGAGTTTTATAGAAACTTTTTATATGAAATATTTATATATATTAATAATTCTTGTCTAATTAGATTACCTTTTATTTAAAAAAAAACTCATAATAAAAGGTAATTTGTGGTAGAGTTTTAAAAAAATTGATTTATTTTTTATATCAATTAAAAAATATTTTTTATATTAATACTTCTTGTCTAATTAGATTTTGTTTAAAAAACTCATAATAAATAAATAAATAGGTAATTTGTGTTAGAGTTTAAAAGAAACTCTTTTTATATTAATTAATAATTTTTTTATATTAATAATTCTTGTCTAATTAGATTTTCTGTTATTAAAAAACTCATAATAAATAGATAAATAGGTAATTTGTGTTAAAGTTTTATAAAAAAACTCTTTAAAAACATCTTTTTATATCAATTAATAAATAATTTTTTATATTAAAAATACTTGTCTAATTTTTTTATAAATAGGGTAATTTGAAATTTATTAGTTTGATTTTATAGTTTTATAGAGTTATTTTTTTTTTTTTTTTTTTTTTTAAACTCTTTTCATATCAATTAATAAATATATTTTTTTATCTAAATAAATAAATACTGAAACTCTTTGCACATTTAATAATAGTATATATAAAAACTCTTTTTATATTAATTAATAAATATTTTATTATATACATAAATAAATGCTGAAATTTCAGAGCTTCTGTATTTTATAGATAAAAACTCATTTTATATCAATTAATAAATATTTTTTATATAAATAAATAAATACTGAAATTCTTTGGCAGAACTTTTGTATTTTATATGTTCCTCTGAATTTCTGGATTTCTGGATTTCAGAGCTTCTTTATTTTATAGATAAAAACTCATTTTATATCAATTAATAAATATTTTTTATATAAATAAATAAATACTGAAATTCTTTGGCAGAACTTTTGTATTTTATATGTCCCTCTGAATTTATGGATTTCTAGAATTCTGTGACGTTACCGATTTTTTATCGTTTTTCTAATTTCTGGAATTTATTTGATTTTCTAAATTATTTTAATCCTTGTCTCGTTTTGCGTGCCATGCGGGCCCCGAGGGGCGTTTTGGTCAATTATTGAGTCGAGGGTTTTAGAAGTGTATTTTCAATCATTTTATGTCAATTAAAAGTAACAGTTTCATTTTTAGATTTTTTCAAAAGTCGGGACGATTTCCGGACTCGGGAACTTTCCTTGGTTTTCTCATCTTAAGTGAGGAACGTTATTGGGATTTCACATGTGTGCGTGTATATTTATATGTATTCTTTGAGAGGATATTTTGGGCGTAGGCATGTTATTACAATGGAAGACCATGGACTAGGAGGTAACTTTGCCCAAAATTAGTAATCCACAAGAATTGGACAAGTGGCACATTATTGGCCTTGGAAGCAAAGTGAAAAATTAACCTAATTTCCTCCTTCTCTTCATTCAGCCGAGACCATCTCCCTCTCTCCTTAGTTTTTCCTTTTCTTCTCTCTATATATCTATACATCTATATACACATATTTCTCCATTGTTGCAAGCTTGATTTGAGGTGTTTAGAGTGAGGTTTTGGAGGTGATCAAGAAGGATGTTGGAGAGCTTGGCATGAGCTTTCATTAGAGACCAAAGGTGCAAGGGCTTGGAGGATTTTGAAAAAATTTGGGGTTTTTCTTCTATTTGAGGTAGAGTTTATCTAATTGTCGATTTCCTTGGAACTGGTAGTTAATTAGATGACTTTCCCTCATTTGACATGCCAATTTAATGTTAATTGAATAATGAAGATTTTAGGGTTTTGGTTGATGCAGAAGCTTTGTCTTATTAATGTGTTTGATGGAAATTAATTGTTTATCTTGTGTATGAATTTCAATTGACATGCTAAGAAGTTGCTATATGGTGGATTATCTCTATTACTCTTTGTATAGTCATTTTGATGTATGTAGAAACATGTTTAAGTGTTGGATTATCGTGTTATGGTTGTGAAATTGCTTATTGGATAATGAAAGCATGATGAGAATTTGAATGGTTGAAATCAAAATATTTCATATGCATGTCATGAGGGTATTGATGGGTATAAGAGAGGTGATGGTGTGAATGTGATGTGTGGATGTGTGGAGGGGTGAATGAAATGTGTGGGTGTGTAGGAGTGTGGAAGTGATGCATGGACATACGATGGTATAGACGGAATGTGTGATTATGTGAGGGTAGAATGTGATGTGTGGTTGCATTGGCATCTTGTGCATAGCATTGAATATGATGGTGTGTGAATTATTTAAAAATTGAGGTGTCGTATGTGAATCCCTCGCATGATCCCCATCTCTTTTTCCTATTCATTGCTTGTAAGGCATGTAATTATTTACCGTGCTTGAGGAGATGCCACTTAGGTATTCTCTACTGAGCCTTGTGCTCACTCCTCTACTTATTATTATTTTTCAGGGATTGAAGATGAGCCGGTGAATAATATACATCCATGGATATCAATGTAGATAGGACTTCACTTTTATTTTTTACCAAAGCTATGTAAATTTTGGCCATAGAGGCCTTACTCTTGTATTTAATTCCTTTAAAATTTGAATAAAATGAGACTTTTGTAATTCGGTCTTTAAATGATGTATTGGACGGGTATTGGGGATGCAATTAAATATAATCTCACAAAATCCTTCTTGGTGCATTTTCTTGGAACGTGTTATGTATCATTCAAAATATTTATTACCAATATTGTTATCGTATTGGGTTTTGAATTGTATATAATTACGTACACGTGCAATGGTGGTAATTGGGTGATTGGTTATCAAAGTTGGTGTATTTGGGATAGTGGGAATTGCGAGTGTGGATAACCCAAAACCAGTTGACGTATAGCGTGAACTAGTCGACGTGTAGTATGAACCAGTCCACGTGTAGTAGGAACCAGTCGACGTATAGCGTGAACCGGTCGACGTATTATGTGAATCAGTAGATCGGTATCTTGGCAGAGAGTTTGTCACTGTACACTTCCCAAACCAGTCGACGTGTACATCCCACACGTCGACCGGTATCTCGGCAGTGGGTATCATTATTGTTCATGTCCCAAACCAGTCTCTGTTTTGTATGTAATTACTATTTTAAATTCTTAAATTACACTTTGGTACCCAAGTAAGGTTACACTTAATTATTTTATGACCCAAATAAATGTAATAATTATGTTTTGACTACCGAAAAGACTATTTTACCCCGGATCTTATTTTAATTATTATGTGATGCAAATAAATGGCTATATTAACCTTTGAGTCTAAAATTATTGAATTAGGGCAAATTACCATTTTGTCCTTTTTGGACCTTGATAATTAAATTTAACGTGAAAAGACCGTTTTACCCTCGGATGATTTTGGGTCGGGTAATGACCCGTTTAATGATCTGGATCTAGTGGATTCGGGTCGTTAAAAATTCTTAATTTCTGTATCCCTTCCTCCTTCCTCCTTCCTCCTTCCTCCATGCCCCTATTTATAGGCTTCTTGGATTAATAGGATGATGACATATGTACTCTCCTGATAGTTATCATAAAAAATAACTATTCTTTTTATATCAATTAATAAATATTTTATTGTGAATGATTTTATTAGGTAATTTTTAGAGTTTTATAGAAACTATTTTTATAAAAACCTTTTTATATCAATTAATAAATATTTTATTGTGATTGATTTTATTAGGTAATTTTTAGAATTTTATATAAACTATTTTTATAAAAACTATTTTTATATCAATTAATAAATATTTTTTTATATAAATAAATAAATACAAAAATACTAAAACTCATAATAAAAGCTAATTTGTTATATATAATAGAGTTTTAAAGAAAATAAAATAGTTAATTTGTGGTAGAGTTTTATAGAAACTCTTTAAATATATCTTTGTCAGATGTGATAGAGTTTAATTGAAAATAAAATAAGTAATTTGTATTAAAATTTTATATAAATTATTTATTTTCTTTAAATATATATATCCTTGTCTAGTTAGATTTTCTTTTATTAAAAAACTCATAATCAAAGGTAATTTGTGGTAGAGTTTTGGAAAAATTATTTTATTTTTTATATCAATTATTAAATATTTTTTATATTAATAATCCTTGTCTAGTTATATTTCTTTTATTAAAAAAACTCATAATAAATAGATAAATAGGTAATTTGTGTTAGAGTTTTATATAAACTCTTTTTAAAAAATTATTTTATTTTATTTTAATATATCCTTGTCT